AGCGGCGAATAATATTGCATTGCTGACCAACTCGGTGGTGACGTTGGTCGAACGGTCCACCACCGTGGCTCCAGAGGAGGCGGAGGAGATCGCTAAGGCGGCCAGCACGGCGCTCACGCTGTGCGCAGCCGTGGCGGTGTCCCAGGCGAGGATCACAGCCTGGATGACACAGATCCAGCGCCACCTCTGGTTACAGCAGGCAGCGGTCACAGAGCCAGCCAGGAAGGTGTTACTGGACGCTCCGATCAGCTCGGACGGGCTGTTCGGGCCCCAGTTCCTGGCCATGGTGGATTACATGAAGGCGGCATCGGAGCAGGCGGAGGATATCCGCCAGCACGTCGGCTGGCTCCAACCAACGGTGAAGCAGCAGCGGCACCAGCGGCAGCAGCAACAGCCAACCCGGCCACAGCGGCAGACGGACAGACACCAGCAGCAACAGCAGCCGAGGCGTCAGACTCGTCCGTCAGCGGCGGCTGGGGCACCGGCCCGCGCCTCCAGGGCACCGTCCCGCGCCTACGGGCCCCCACCAGAGGCGTTATCTGGAGTGGAATTAAAAACTCAGCCAGCAGCAGAGCGCGCTCTAGCGGCAGCGAGTGGAGAAACGGACAGCTCTCCTCCGGCGTGTCACAACCCACACAGCCCTCTCCGTGACGCAGCTGCGCGGCATTAGCGTCAGCTGGTCACGGGGGGGGGGATTCCCCTGGGTCTCCCCCACAGGTGGAGTCTCCAGAGGTGCTTCATTCACTGCAGAAGCCTGCTGTTTTAACCTATTGGTTTATAAACTGCAGAGCTCGAGGCATTCCTCTGTCCCAGATATGCCTTACACACGGTGATAATAAATCCACGAGCACTGTTATAACGCCTCGTGTGGACAGCATACACACACCTCTCATCCTCTGGGCGTGTACGTGCCTCATGATGAGAGACAGAGTGGAATGCAGCGTGTGGAAACTCCCTCGCAGCCTTTTTGCTTCACCGGCAGCAGCGGCGAAGGCGTGGCACGTCACCATGACGACCATTACGGCACATCACAGAGAAGCCTCTCCCCCCAGCAGTTCCATGGGATACAAGAAACACTCCCGTTATCCCAGGAACAGTGTTATTCCCGGCGAATTTAACCGAGGGGCTCGCAGAACGCAGCAGCCGTGGTATGCGAGGAGTATGGAGACTCAGACCGGTGTCACGCACACTGGCGCCTCAGTGGGATTTGGCTTTGGTGTTACGTGCACTAAAGAAAAACCCCATTTGAACCTGATCAGGTTCCCCTTAACTGTATTCAGCCAAAGTAGTACTGCTTTTGGCTCTATCAGAGGAAAGGGTGATCTGTCTGCTCTCCCGGTGGCTCCGTCATGTCTCCGGATCCATGGAGATGCAGTTCAGCTGTTTTACGCCCTAACCCGGCTTCATGCCTATAAGGTCATCACAACTCTTTTAGGTCAAGAGTGATCACCCTGGCTAGCTTCTTCCCCCCTCCTTACAGGTCGGAGGAAGAAGCAACATCTCATCTCCTCTGTCCGGTGCGCGCGCTGTCCTGCTATGTGGCGCGCACGGCGGCATTGCGCCGTTCTCAGCGCCTGTTTGTGCATTACAGAGAGCGCTCGATCGGGCAACCTCTGTCTACACAACGGCTGTCACACTGGCTGTGTGAGGCTGTGTCACAGGCATATGTCTCCTCTGGGGTGGAGCCCCCGGAGAATATCAAAGCGCACTCAACCAGAGGAATTTCCTCCTCCTCGGTGTTGCGCAGAGGAATGTCAGTGGAAGATATTTGCACGACTGCATCTTGGTCTTCCCCCTGTTCATTTATTCAATTTGATTTGAGGGATGTCTCCCTTTCCTCTCTGACACGCCCTGTACTGGGTGTCCTGTCAGAGTGAGTGACGTCAGGGATCCAGCTGTGCGCCTCTCTCCTGCCTCGCGGCACACAGAGAGCGGCCCTTTTTCCCCTCGTAGGAGAGGGATGTCCCCCTTCCTCTGACACACTTCGTACGGAGTGCCTGGTCAGAGTGAGTGACGTCAGGGATCCAGCTGAGCGCTCTCCTACCTGGCTGACACGGAGAGAGCGGCTGTTCCCCCTCTATGATCGCAGGACAAGGTGGGACCTTCGTCTCTACTTTCTCACAGCGGTCGGTATGTATTGTTCCCAGCCTTCACCCCGTCAGGAAAATAGGTATGTTTTGCTATGTTCCAGGGACGGGGATGTGCCATTACGCATGGCACAACAGGCAGGGGGGTGTTATTAAGCAGGTATGTCTGTGCTTCTAGTGCTGGACGGACCCAGTGGGGCGCAGACTACATCATGCTTTGCCCTTAACCCAATAGCGATAGCCTTAGAGGGCGAAGCCATATACGAAATAGAACTGAGGTTACCTACTGTAACTCAGCTTCTATGAGTATTGGTGCAGCCCTCTAAGCGCTGGGCCCCACTGGCTCTACGAATAGCTGAAGAAAAGTTATATTGTATGGGAGCAGATTGCCGGGCACCCTTCCTATTTATACCGGAAGGAGGCCCGAGGGTGGGGCCCACCTGGCGGGTGGGCGTGGACTACAAGTGTTTCAGTGCTGCGCGGGGGCGCAGAGGGATAACCCAATAGCGATAGCCTTAAAGGGCTGCGCCAATACTCATAGAAGCTGGGTTACAGTAGGTAACCTCAGTTTCTACACCAAGGTGGAGGAGAGTCCTCTCCTGTCAGACTGTGAGGATCGTATAACCTCAGCTCAGTGAGGTAAGGACTCTCTCAGTGTTTAGATAGTTCACTTTAGTGTAAGTTATCTCAGTGGGTCTCAAACGGTTTGGTCACCATTTATGTAAGTATTTTCGAGGAATACCTTTATATGATCATTATAGTTATTAAAGAGAGAATAAATGAAAAACGGGTATGAAATACTATAGGACAGTAACACAAGAATACAGTTTAAAAGGGGAATGATTAGTAAAATATCCATAAAGAAAAAGTAAATCTGTGTACAGTTCTGTTTCATATGGATGCTGAGTGTAGGCTATAGATCTCTTCATGTTGCTTTCAAAGTGCACCAGATTGATGCATTTAACTTCAATATTTTAAAAATAATCTTCCCGGGGGAGCATGCCCCCAGACCCTCCTAGAGGAGGTTAGGTCCACCTCCACCTAAAACATGTTCACATGGATAGGATACTAAATACATTTGCACACTTTTTATATGGTGGCCTATGTCCATATCAAATCAAATCAAGTTTTATTTATATAGCACATTTTTCAACGATTTTTGGTCGAGCCAAAGTGCTGTACATATAATAAAAAAATAACCTACAGTAAAGACACTTTACAGCAAATACAACAGCACAGTTTGTGCAGAATATCAGTATGAGAAAACGACACCCTCTGTCCTTATATGTTTCTGTTTTGATGGTCGTGCCACAACCGTGCATGTATGCACAAGTCATAGGTGCGCTATACAATAGCACTACACCCCTGCAATGTGTGTGAAAGACAATAGACTTTACAGCATGTTTTTTGAAATTGAAGTTGCGTTGGTGTTTGTGTGTTGGTTGTTGACGGCAGTGTGTGCCCCCCCTTGGTAAATGATTGCCCCCCCATTCGATTTGTTCTAGAGCCGACCCTGGTTCCTCCACTGCTCCTCCGCGGATGCATTTCCGGGAACGGTGGAGTCGTGATGTACGGCCGGACTTATCTCAGCCAATGACAGCTCTGCGTGCATCCCCTGGATATGATTTTAGAAACTGCTTTCATCGCGACGCGATGTTTACAGAGAGAACAGCTGTGAGGTTCGTGCAGAAAGCAGAGCAGTGTGTATAATAGATATCACTCATAACAGGCCTACTCTCTTTATTTGCTTTAGTTTAGTAGATAACTACAAACAAAGAGTCGATATTTTTCTAAGACCATTTATTGCTTCACATAATAAAATACACAACGGCTGTATCCTGATTATGCTTTAGGAGCTGTAGGTGTGAGTGGTACAGTGTGTAGGTGTGTGTGTTGTAGATGCGGCGGACAGACGGGTTTCAATTGGTCTGCTTACTTTTAATACTTGTAAATACAACTTTTGGCCCGTAATTTCAATTCCCCATTTCAGTGACCAGAGAGAGAGGGGGGGGGGATATATCCAGTCTCTGATTGTGTTACGTTATTATGTGTGCTCTCATACTTTAAATTGTATATATATAAGTCGTCATGAACACATCTGTCCATCAGACAGAGGGCTACTGTGCCTCCTGTCATCATTAATGGACGTCTCTTTAAAATGAGGAGTTCTCATTTCTCTAACTGCTGCTTCCCCTCCTCTCTCCTCGGTTCCCCTCCTCAGTCCTCCGCTCGCATCTCCTGTGGGCGGGACTAAGTCTCGAGGATAGGAGTCGAGGAGGGGAAATTGAGAAGCCTCTCTTGCGTCCCTCCATGCTTCCCTGGTGGGAGGACTAAACGCAGGGAAACGAGCAAGTGAGGGAAGCAAGGATTTCATTTAACCGACCTGAGACTGGGCCCAGCTGGTTTCTCCAAAATTACCTACCCCACCTTTAAGCCAATAACCATCCAAGGTAACACCTTATCACTTAAATCTCCTCCTAGACCACCATTGTATTTTTTTGTAAACCAATCATCTCTCAGAGGGACGTAGCCAGCAGCAGCTCATTAGCATTAAAGCTACAGACACAGAATCAGCACTTTTGAAACAGAGTGGTATATGGCATGCTACAATGATCTGTTTGGTATTACGAGCCAAACACTTCAGAGACATGATTTGTATGTATCTGAGACCTATGATATATTGTTGCAAAAGTGTATAAGAGGGGACCTTTAATATTGAAAATAACATGTCATTGAAATTGTTTGAGAAATATATACATCAGTTTATTTCTAGTAAAACAGCATCTAACCTGTTTACTTGTATTAGTTTACAACTAGCCTTACCCAGGATAGAATGGTGTTGATGAAATGCAGCCAATGCGCTGTGTATGAATGAGTAAGGTCTGTGCTGTGTAGATGGTAAGTGTCTCTCACCTTGATGCGGACCTCGTTGGCCTTGGGCGGAGCTACTTCAATCTCCTCCATCACCAAAGGCTTGTTGGGCTCCCAGGCCACTGCTGCCTTGCACTTGATGACCTGCAGCACAGTGATACCAGCATGAACTCTCCCATACTGGGTGCTGCCTGTTTGCAATAAGGATTTATGGCAGTTTACGGACACCCTTAAAGCACTGCACCCATGCATTGTTGAGGATTATATGAAATCTTACTTCCCTCTGTAATATATTTCAAGGTTAACACTCATCTAGAGGCAACAAGTAGATGTATATGCCACCATGCTAATGATCATCATTGCTTACATTATCAAGGGATTTGACATATCCGCTGAACTTTCTTTATTACATTACATTATAAGTGTATTAATCTCTCTGATACAGTTGCTCCTGAAAAAGCAAACGTCACATGACATCAAACAGTTCAAAGACCACATAATTATTTGGCAGTATTTTGATACAAGCATAACAATTATGTGTTTGGTGAAGTATCACTTAGTGAAACAGCTGTTAACACACTTGGTAAATAAAATGTCCCCTTGGTAACGTTTTTTTTTTCTTCCACTGTCCACATCCAATAAATCCTTGGGTTTCCATCATGATCTTGTTTGGCTTCATACCCTCTAATCCTTGCCAATATCCACAGTTGCGCAAATATGTCTGGATAGTTTCAGACTGTGACATATCAGACGAGTAAATGCAATATCAGGGGCAGAGGGTACAGAAAGAGAAATACAGTATATAATTCATTTAACATAGTGTTCGCAGTAAAAAAAACTCATTCTAAGTCGGTTTGAATAAAGTAAACATGTATGTGAAAAGACAATTACATTAACACTGCACATGATGTTATTGAAGCACACTGAAAGAAGTTTCCAGGTATCAGTTTGGTATAATCTAACCATCCAGATAATAATATCTTTATGATCATTACAATCTTAAAATGATTCTCAATAATAGCCTCAGTATGTGGTTACAGCACATGCAACCTTACTTCAATACATGTCTTTTCAGTAGTAAATAACAGTACTCCATGATTTAATATTGTACTTACCTTTCCAGCTGTAGCCATTTCTCAGTGTCAGAAAGTTTGGAGTAGAGAAAGAAACACTGCCTGACTGGAGAGTGAGGAAGAGAGAACCTGGATTTGAGTTTTAAACAACGCTGCCAGAAAAAACTGTTGCACAAACATTAAGATGGGCGGGGACTAATCGTAAAGTAAGGCACACAATATGAATCCAACTGAATTTAAAAGTGTGTTTATAAGTGTTGCTCTTGGCAAGGCAAGGAAAGGCAAGGCAAGTTTATTTATATAGTACCTTTCAACACAAGGCAATTCAAAGTGCTTTACAAAAATGAAAGACATTAAGAAAATGGCATTTAAAAACAGTCATTAAAAAGTAAAGATAATAAAATAAACATTAAAATAAAAAAATACATGAATAAAGTGACAGTGCAGTTTATGGAATAGTTCAATTAAAAGCAGCGGCAAAAAGAAAAGTCTTCAGCCTGGATTTAAAAGTAGTCAGAGTTGCAGCGGACCTGCAGGTTTCTGGGAGTTTGTTCCAGATATTTGGAGCATAATAACTGAACGCTGCTTTACCATGTTTAGTTCTGACTCTGGGGACAGAAAGCTGACCAGTCCCTGAAGACCTGAGAGATCTGGATGGTTCATAATTTAGCAGGAGGTCAGAAATGTATTTTGGGCCTAAACCATTCAATGCTTTATAAACCATCAGCAGTATCTTAAGTTAATATACGACATTACTGTAATGGTCAGATCAAATCTGAAATTAGACTTGCTTCACAGCAGCTCCATTTGCAACATTAATAAGGACAACATAACAAAAAAGACCCTTTGCATTTGAGCTGTGATTTAACTCTGTGTCTTTACTGTTAGGATTGACTGCGGTGCACAAAGGAGTGCTTCAGTTTGACTTTATTAAAACGAGGGACTCTGTATCTCCGATAATATTTCAATAATTCATATTCTCTGTTCAGCACATGGTTTGGGTCTGAGATGATGTTGTTGGACAGCCTCACTAGGTTATTATGGTATGCTGACTCATAAAGTCTCTGAAAGGGTTGACCAACAATCTTTGAGCAGATTTTCCGCTGGTGGAGCAGTTTTGATTTGAAAGCAGTCGACAAACACTTGTACCAAGTAGTATTGCAATACTGTAGAATCATTACACCCATATTTGTAGGAAAGTACCTGCTTGTTTTTTTTCAGTATGAATTAAAATGGGGACTGTATGGGAGTCAGACGGTGAGCCAAAGAGTATTTCCTCTGTTTTCCTGGTGTTAATCTCAAGAGCATGTTATCAGTCCACCCAACCACCTGATTTACACCCTGTTGGTGCAGCCCAGGGTTGCTGAGTTACATAACAGAGATATTAACACTGTATCAGAGTACTTAATAATCAAAGTCAAAGTCAGCTTTATTGTCAACATTTCTACATGTGTTATACATACAGAAATCTTGAAATACCGTTTCTCGCAGTCCCACGGTGACATATTTACATAAAAATAAGATACAAAAAGGGCCTAGATAAACGGGGTATAAAACTAAGCAATAGTAGTAATAAGTACTAGTTAATAATATATTTATAAAAACACAATCCATAGAACATGAATTGACATGAATGGAAGTATTCTTTAGTGCAAATGAGAAAATTATGTTCAAAGTAGTTTCAGTGCAGTAGCAGCGGAGATGGGTAGAAAAATTACTGGTGCTGAGGGAAGGTTGTGTGTGTGGTTAAAGTCCAGGTCCATTTGGGGCAGGGGGGAAAGGTGGGAGGTTGGGTGGAGAGGTCAGGGGAGAAATGTCAGAGGAGGGAGGGAGGGAGAGAGGGAGAGAGTTCAGCATCCTGACTGCGGAACCTTCTCCCTGAAGGCAGGAGGCTGAAGAGGCTGTTGGAGGGGTGGGTGGAATCACCCACAATGCTGAGTGCTTTGCGGGTGAGGCGGGTGTTATATATGTCCTGTAGCGATGGGAGTGAGGCACCGATGATCCTCTGGCCAGAGTTCACAATGCGCTGCAGGCTCTTGCGGTTGGAGGCGGTGCAGCTTCCAAACCACAGCGTGATGCAGCTGCTGAGGATGCTCTCAGTGGCGCCTCGGTAGAAAGACAGCATGATGGGGGGTGATGCTCCGGCTTGCTTGAGCTTCCGGACGAAGTACAGGCGCTGCTGGGCTTTCTTCGCTAGTGCGGTGGTGTTGTTTCTCCAGGTGAGGTGATCAGTGATGGTCACACCAATGAATTTGGTGCTGGTCACCTGCTCCACAGCTGCCCCGTTGATGGTCAGGGGGAGAGGGGGTCGGTAGTGGGTTCTCCTGAAGTCAACAACAATCTCCTTTGTTTTCTCCAGGTTGAGGAAGGCAAGGCAAGGCAAGGCAAGGCAAGTTTATTTATATAGCACTTTTCAACACAAGGCAATTCAAAGTGCCTTACAAAAAATGAAAGAGATTAAGAAAATGGCATTTAAAATCAGTCATTAAAACGAAAAGCTAATAAAATAAACATTAAAAGAAAAAATACATGGATAAAAGTTACAGTGCAGTCAATTAAACATTAAAAGAAAAAAGTACATGGATAAAAGTTACAGTGCAGTCTAAGATATGAATAGTTCAATTAAAAGCAGCGACAAAAAGAAAAGTCTTCAGCCTGGATTTAAAAGTAGTCAGAGTTGTAGCGGACCTGCAGGTTTCTGGGAGTTTGTTCCAGATATTTGGAGCATAATAACTGAACGCTGCTTTACCATGTTTAGTTCTGACTCTGGGGACAGAAAGCTGACCAGTCCCTGAAGACCTGAGAGATCTGGATGGTTCATAATTTAGCAGGAGGTCAGAAATGTATTTTGGGCCTAAACCATTCAGTGCTTTATAAACCAGCAGCAGTATTTTGAAATCTATTCTTTGACACACAGGAAGCCAGTGTAAAGACTTCAGAACTGGAGTGATGTGATCCACTTTCTTAGTGTTAGTGAGGACTCGAGCAGCAGCATTCTGAATCAGCTGCAGCTTCCTAATAGATTTTTTAGTGAGACCTGTGAAGACACCATTGCAGTAGTCGAGTCTACTGAAGATAAAAGCATGGACAAGTTTTTCCAAATCCTGCTGTGACATTAGTCTTTTAATCCTAGATATATTCTTTAGGTGATAGTAGGCTGATTTAGTAACAGTTTTAATGTGACTGTTGAAACTCAGGTCAGAGTCCATGACTACACCTAGATTTCTGGCTTTATCTGTTGTTTTGAACATTGCACAATGAAGCTCAGCGCTAACTTGTATACGTTCTGCCTTGGCTCCAAAAATCATGACCTCAGTTTTATCTTTGTTTAATTGGAGACAGTTCTGACACATCCAGTCATTGATTTGTTCAATGCACTTACTCAGTGTTTGAATTGGAGCATAGTCTCCTGGTGAAATTGTTACGTACATTTGTGTGTCATCTGCATAGCTATGGTAACTTATTTTGTTGTTCTTCATTATCTGAGCCAGTGGTAGCATGTAGATGTTAAAGAGAAGAGGCCCCAAGATGGAGCCTTGAGGAACCCCACATGTCATATTTGTCAACTCAGATGTGTATTTACCTATAGAAACAAAGTTGTTTCTGTCCTTTAAGTAGGATTCAAACCAATTTAGAACTGTTTCCGAAAGTCCCACCCAGTTCTCCAGTCGGTCTAGTAATATGCTGTGGTCAACAGTGTCAAACGCAGCACTGAGATCTAATAATACTAACACTGAAGTTCTGCCACTGTCTGTGTTTAAGTGGATGTCATTAAAGACCTTTACAAGAGCAGTCTCAGTGCTGTGGTTTGGACGAAAGCCTGACTGGAACACATCAAAACAGTTATTTAAATGCAAGAAATTACTCAACTGTTGAAAAACAACTTTTTCAATGATTTTACCTAGAAATGGCAGGTTTGATATGGGCCTGTAATTGTTCATTACTGAAGCATCTAGATTATTCTTTTTTAAGAGCGGTTTAATGACTGCAGTTTTCAGGGCCTGTGGAAAAATACCTGAGTGAAGAGATTTGTTTACTATATGAAGTAGATCTGAGGCCATGCAAGGCAAAACATCTTTGAAAAATCCTGTTGGAATAATATCAAGGCAGCAAGAGGAGGATTTCAGAAGTTGAATAATGTCCTCTAGGTTTTTATCATTAATCTGATGGAATTGTGTCATGATGTCTGAATTGATGTTAAGTGGAGATAGGGACAACACATTTGCTGTTCCTGATGCAGAGGCACTGACTGCTTGTCTGATTTTCTGAATTTTGTCAGTGAAAAAGGAGGCAAAATCATTGCACGCCCTGGTGGATAGAAATTCAGAGGCTACTGACACTGGGGGGTTAGTTAGTCTGTTGACGGTAGCAAACAAGGCACGTGCGTTGTTTTTGTTTTTGGTAATGATGTCAGAGAAGAACGATTGTCGTGCGTTTTTCAATTCCAAATTATAAAGGCCAAGTCTCTCTTTATAGATTTCAAAGTGAACCTGGAGATTTGTTTTTCGCCACCTGCGTTCAGCTTTTCGACATTCTCTTTTTTCTGTTTTCACGGTCATGGCCTTTCTCCATGGAGATATTTTCTTGCCAGACACTTCCTTTACCTTAGTTGGAGCAATGGCATCTATAACATTTTTAATTTTTGAATTAAAATGATCTACTAGCTCATTTACTGAGATGTTGGCAGGGGCAAGTGTGGAAGAGAAATTCTGAGTAAACATTTCCCTAGTATTTTCAGTTAAATATCGCTTTGTGGTTACCTCTTTTTGAACATTTTTGTGAACAGAAATAGAGCTCTCAAAGAAAACACAGGAATGGTCAGAGAGTGTAACATCAGTCACCACAACCTTAGAGATATTCAGACCCTTTGAGATAATTAAGTCCAGAGTGTGCCCCTTATTGTGCGTGGGCTCCGTCACATGCTGAGTCAGTCCATAGCTATCAAGAACACAAAACAGTTCTTTAGCCCCTCTGTCCTGGGGGTTGTCAACATGGATGTTAAAATCACCAACAATGACTAGACGGTCAAAGTCAATACACACTATAGACAGCAGTTCAGTAAAGTCATCAAAAAAGCTTACACAGTATTTGGGTGGTCTATAGATATTTAGGAACAGAGCTCGAGAGGAGCATTTCAGCTGAAGGGCCACATATTCAAAAGAATCAAAGTTTCCATACGATGTCTTCCTGCATTGAAGGGAATCATTGAACAAAATAGCAACTCCACCCCCTTTCTTATGCATTCTTTCCTGACTCATAAAACTAAAGTTGGGAGGGGTTGATTCGATAAGAACAGCTGCACTGTTATTTTGTTCAATCCAAGTTTCTGTTAAAAACATAAAATCGAGATTGTGCTCAGTGATAAAATCATTGATTAAAAATGTTTTTCCTGCCAAAGACCTGACATTTAATAAAGCTAGTTTAAGTTCGTTAAACACACTATCAGTCAGGTTTTTTGTAACAAGCTGTGGCTGACATGGAATCACTGCTAAATTAGATACACTCACACAAACGTTTGAGCGCTTCCTGTTTCTATGATTCACCGCTCTTAATCTATTACCTATCAACACAGATATCGGCAAAGCTACTGGCAGGCAGGGCCCCGACATGTCCTGGAAAGAGTTGAGAGTGCCATACGCCCTTGAGCCTGGACCCATCACATATCAGTAAGAGTTTGTTGTGTTTTGTACACACACATCCCTATCAGGCTTCGGAGACTGCAGATGCCCCCTCGAAAGGAGGAAGAGGTTATTATTTTGGCACCACAGGGACAGCTGGTTCACTTCCTTCCTTCCTTAGTCTCATCGTTTTGGCTGATGAGACCCACCACAGTAGTGTCGTCTGCAAAACTTCACGATGTGGTTGGAGCTGAAGGTGGCTTTGCACTCGTGGGACAGCAGAGTGAAGAGAAGGGGGCTGAGCACACATCCTCCCCCGTACTCAGTATGAGGTGTTGTTGTTGACCTGTACAGCTTGAGGTCTCTGTGAGAAAGTCCCGCAACCAGTTGCAGAGAGAGGGGCTGAGGCCCAGGTCTGTAAGATTTTGTACAAGCTGCTGGGGGATGATAGTGTTGAATGCCGAGCTGAAGTCTATGAATAGCATTCCAACATAGGAGTCCTTAGTGTCCAGGTGTGTGAGGGCTGGGTGGAGAGCGGAGGAGATTGCATCCTCTGTGGACCGTTTAGCTCGGTAGGCAAACTGAAATGGGTCCAGCAACGGGGGGAGGGTGGATTTGATCTGCTTCATGACCAGCCTTTCGAAGGACTTCATGATGGTAGAAGTTAGTGCGACGGGGCGGTAGTCGTTGAAGCAGGATGGAGATGACTTCTTTGGCACTGGAATGATGGTGGTTTCCTTGAAGCACGAGGGAACAGCCTGGCTCAGGGAGATGCTAAAGATGTCTGTGAGGACATCTGTGAGCTCCTGGATTTGGATTTGGAGCAGCTAATGTCAAACTAGCTTACTTTAGGTAGCGCTTGCATCATCTATTTGTAAGAATAGGTCTGTGTGGGCCACATAGAGAAAAAAGTATTGACCTTATAATTATTATTTTCCTAAATCCTCTTGTTGTGGACTGAGGAAGCAACTTTGATTGACCTTTTTCATTAAAAAAGGTTTCACTATACACATTCCTAAAAGGCAACCAGTCACTGTAGGCCATACATTGAAAGGCATCTCTAATCATATGAAACCTCAAATACCAAAAATACAGATAATGTAAACTTGAGTCATAATGGCATTTCGTGTAAATGATGTTTTAAAAGTTGAATATTGTGTTAGAAATGTTTGTGAAAGTTGAACGTTTTTGTTTTTTTCTAAATGATCTCCCGATTCGCACAATGTGGCCTTCATTCTGCCAGTCCACAAAGAACCTTCGCTTTTTAAGCCATATACCTCTATTAACGTTGAAAAAGTATTTTCCAGTAATTTGTGGACAAAGGATTAGACAATAGCACAACAAAATAAAAGGTATATCATCAGCATCTAGATTTGGTAAAGGAGTCTTGACAAAACTGAAAGAAATTCAAAACAGCATTTTTTTATTGTTTATTAATGATCTATTGATATCATGAACATGGGTGACACTTTACATGTTAATAATTTGCTGAAAATGTGGCAAATAGTGCATTTTCTATAATCAAATGCATTGCAATAAGTCGACGGAAAACACACCCAGCACTAGTTATAAATACTGTTGAAGACAAAGTAGTAAAAATAAAACAAAGACTGTAAAAGATGAGCAATCAACGTTATGACACTTAATATAATCAAAACTGTTAGAAAATGCTTCAAAAGGCACTATATCAGAAAATAATGATCTCTGATGTGTGGTAACTCGCCTCTATTAATGGCACACTCAACACAAGCTGCCAGTAATAGTGATAACCATCTTTTCCAGGTTTCTCTTTAGTAAACAAAGTATTCTGATTAGCTCCTTTGCAATGAAACAATATAAACTTTGTACAAAATACCGGGATTATCTCCATTTTACATCAAAGCTGAAAAGTTTTCCTTTTAAAGTACATCACTTTTAAGACCAAAACCGTTAAATGGTTCAGTGAAGGATCACACTGTATTATTCAGAAAGGGCACAGAATGTTTTACATGAGACGATTTTTTTTATGAAGTACCTATTGTTCTGAAAAGGTACTTTTATTAAAAGGATACATTGGATGTTTTGAAATGGGGTTGTGCGCTACTTATCCATAATCAGTGTACTATAGAATGATGCAGTGATGTATTTTTGTAGGCCAACCTAGAAGTTATCATCAAAAGGGCTCCTTTGAATGTTGCAGAAAATAAGATGAGGCAAATTAACAGTTTATTTTACACGTTTTGTAATAATCTAGACTTTTATGATTTTTGAAGTTTCAATGCAATCACTAGAGGTAAAAAGCTTATGTTAGGCTATACACATCACGGTCACATGACTGTGTGTCACCACCGCTAAGCTAAAGGCAGCTAATGTTCGACGTGATGCGTTTAATAGTCTCATTTAGCCGACTGTTAGCAACGGCCGTTATTAAGAGTTAGAAGCTTCAGACATTCACCAGTTGGGTATATGATAACGTATTTTATGTTCTCGAAACAAAACTTAAAAGTCTTGAGTTAACCACAGACCTTAATTCTGGCATCTAACCAAAATCAAGAAAAAAAAAAACGTAGACTTCGAGACGATGTAAGAGGAAGACTTATTCCTGTACCACTCTAATACCTTAAGCAGATGACATGCCTCAGGAGAAACAGAATAGCACAGAAGCGAGCAATGTGCGGCTGTGGATTGGCACCGAATAGAACGTTTTTTTAGCATCTTAAAAAAATCTACCTGCAACCTACTTCAGGTAAGTTCCTCATACAAACCCCATTTCAAAAAGGTCTGCACTGTCCCTTTAAGAAAAGCATTATTAAGACATCAGGTCATAAGGTCTTGGGTCTTTACATTATTCTGCTTTCATATCAAAATATAGTCTAAATGCCTGCTTTTAGTATGATTTCATGGCTTTCCTGTGTGCAAACATAAAACAATTCAACAAAATATGATAATCTGCAACAACATACATGTGTAACTTTTAGCTTATGGACAATCATTTGTAATTTAGGTATTTTCTAGTAAGAAAATAAAAAAGGATTAAGATAAACACTGATATGGAAGAAGGCAAAGAAAACCTTCCTTAAACCCAGACAGATATATTAACTTTCTCTGGAAATAAGTAGATTTTTATGTCAACATTCATAAGAATACTGTACTGTATATTGTTGAGCACGGGCTGTGGTGCAGAGCAGCTTCATGACTGATTATTACAGTACATGTGTAATTATGAGGAACGAGTGGTTACACAATGCTTATTAGTATGCGTGGATGCAAGTGTGAATGTATGAATGTATGCATGTATGCATGCAAGTTTGGTCACAAAAATGCCAAGATAAACCCAGAGCTCAAAAGACAGGTGTAAAAAAAAAGAAATCAAGGTAAAAGTGCAGCGCGTTAATACCGGGAAACCATGCAAGCAATCACACACATCCTTAGTTAAACACTTATTGGAAATGTTAATGACATCTGTGTCACCGCACAAACAAAGCTTTCTCTCTTACATAAGACAATGTTATCATACAAAGAGCAATGATAATACTAATAAGAACCCAGGTGATAGGATGGAAATGAAAATATCTTTAATTCAAACACAACTCAAATCCAGACATGTTTTGTTTACACCTGACACCTATAATATATTGTTGAAAAATAGTAATATTATAATAGGGGTATATTTTTCCATATCCTGATACCGACCTAGATAGAAAATACAAATCTGAAAGCCAACTGGACTATATACAGTATATATATATATATATATATATATATATATTGGACATCTGTCTTTTAAAAAAAGGGCCAAATCCATGTGTAACAGGCAAATCTGGTTTTATTTGTCTTTAAATGTTCAATGGGTATTTGTTCGCATTTCATTTTTTGTAGAAATGACTTATTAGAATCAATATGGATTACAAAGTTAGCGTTTACGAAAACTGGTATTTTTATTAAAATAGAGCTTTTATAGTTCAACCAGTGACAGCTGATACAATCACTTTTGAAATTATATCCACTATTTTTGAAGTAGTAGGATATAAGTTATTTTAATACAACTCAAATGTTGTCACTGAAAATTGCAAAATACTATCATTAGTAAGAATTCCCAATTAAAAAAATTCAACAAAATAATCGAAATAGATAATTAAAATACCAAAAAAAAGGATGCAATGAAATGTTAAGGGGACTGATGGATTAGCTGAGCTTCACTCCACAAAAAAGTTGTTTTCTTCTTGCATTTGAAATGAATACAGATTTTGTTAATGCCAAGTAGATTGGACTTAAGAAGCTGTACCAGATTGTTGGAGTTATGCAGCGTAGGGCTTTTCATTATCCAACACTAAGCTAATATGGCTAATTACAGGCTCACTACTACTTGGCTCCATTTCCATTTTGGCATTGTTGCACTGAAACAGACTTGGTTCAGCTGAGATAAATTAAGTTGTCAAGCAGTAGTTTATGGATGCTAATTGCTAAGTGTTTTTGGGAATATTGCTAACTTTTATTGGGAATATGCCTTGCTTGGTTTGAAATTCCGACGAGATGCCATTATATAAAGAATCGGAATCAGAATATGGTATCATGAGGAGTTACAGGCAGAGACTGTTTCTTTTTGGGGTTACAATTAGCAACGCCTTATATTGCCAAAGTGTGGTATGGATCTTGCAATTCAACTCTAGAATGAAAGATAAGTAACAAGCCAATGTCAAACGCATTGGTTAAAAATGTGTACTTAATCAGGTTGAAGAGCAAAAAAGTATCAATAGCAGTGCTTCTTAGACTAGTCCCCTAAAAATGTGAACAGGTTCTACCTGTGTTTACTTATAAAACTAGTAGCTTCCTGGTAGAGTGAGCATTGCCACACTAACAAGTCTGAAAATAATGCCAGGTGGATGTTGGGTATAATGTTAATATATCCTAAAAATGGATCCACCTTGTATGATATTTTTTATTAAAAAAGAGGAAATGTGATCAGTAACTTGTTCCTGTACGAACAACCAGTGGGTGTTCTGATTCAAGCCAATGTTGATAACCACTGATCTGAACAATACTCGATGAAAGTGTATTATTGATGTTTAAAAGTCATCCTTTTTTACCCATAAAAGTTAAAGATGGATACATTTGTATGGAAACTTGACATTTTCCATTTCAAATTTGGCATTTGTCCACATCACATACGCAACCATATGGCTAACCCTAACCCTAAACATGACCAATGTTACAAGCACAGCAGACATATAACTACCTGTTATTGGACACAAAATGATAAAAAAAATAACTAACAAAAACTACACAGGAAAAAAATAGTTTTAAGTGTCCCATTTGATGCGGATGATTTACGTTATGGCAAGCTAGTGACAAGGGGCACCTGTGCACACCTCGGTCCTCGTGGAAGACTTGTGATCCATCTCGACCCGTTCCGAGTGTTCCGGGTTTGTTAGGTTCACGCCGCTTCAGGAGAGGAATCAGTCGTCAATGTCCTCGAACACATTATCGTCGAAGAACCGCGCCACAGACGGCTGTATCTTTTGCCGGGAATACTTGAGATTAACAAGGTCTCCCACCTCACTGATGACACTCAGCGCCTGTGGAGACATTTGTTCAATAAAAAGTCTGTCAGCATGAAGGGAAATATGTGGCTCCAGGAAATGTAAAACTGCACCAAGCTAGATTTGTACATCTTTCATGTAAGATTACATCAAAACTTGAGCTGAAACCTTAAACCTTAAATCTTTTCAATTTTTCTTTCCCATTAATTGGCGGGATGGGTAGTCACCAGTAGGACATCCTGTAATAGCACAGGAGGTGATGAGTTCATACAGATAAATCATCTAAACAGCAGCAAGAGTTCATTCTGTCTGAAACTCTTCCCCGAAATGGAAGATCTTCCGTCGTAAAAGCGCTTCTTGAACGTTTTTTAAAGTTAAATCAGTCAATGCTTAACAATATAAACAAGTTGTTGGTAAAACACAATGAAACGAACAGTTGTGTGTAGGTTGAGTGTGTATTTGTGTAAAACAGTTAGTGATTAATCTGATTACCTGAATTTCTTTTGTGCTATTTGATTTGTTTTACATATCATTAATGTTGTACAGTAGTACCTGAGAGACCAGTGAGAAAAATAATTGGATGATCTTTTTTCTAATATATATATCTGATATCAATTGTTTATGACTTAAGAACAGGTGGTGAAATGATCACTTTCCCAGTGTTTGTTCTTGTAATTCTCATTTGGACCACAAGGGGCTGAAGTGCACCACTACCCCATAAACTGATATGGGGAATAGGATTGAAAGCATTCACACTTTTCTTTCAGGTCAGTCTTATTATCTTAATTACTGTAGTTTTTGATTGGCTAGAAATGTAATTTAACCATATCAAAATATATATTTAGAATGCAAGGTCAAACTCAACTGGAAGAAAACGAGTACAAATTACATTTAGATTATTGGGTAGTGGTGCTCTTTCGCCTCCTATGCCTGAAGTCAGTATTACAAAAACAAACAAAAAGTTCACATTCAAATTTTGGAAGACTTGTTTTCACAGATGAATAAAATATAATTTTGGCAAACCTTTTTTTGTTCATAGTCATACATACATTATAGAAATGATTACATTATAAAACAAAATATATCAGCCTTAGAAAATGGGTCACTATAATATTTTATCTGACTTACATCTTAGGTCTTCCGTGTTTTTCTTTTTGAAATGCCAATAGGTTACAACAGGGGTGAACACGAGATTGAAGGTTTATGTGGTAAATGTTTTGACAAAAATATAATCTATAAGGGTGACATGCAGAAATAGCACAGTAATAGTGTTCATTTGGAGTTGTGCTTTTGGCCACCTGACACCTCTTTGCGTCAGGTGGCCATTAGTCAGTCTTTTTGGCTATTAAACTGCTCATTGCTCCACTGCAGATTAAAATGCCACAAAAAGTAGTCTTTGTCTGTTTTGACTTTTTCAAGAAGTCAGAGTAGACTTCTATGATCAAAGATGTGTGGGTGCTATTGAAGGAGAGGGCTTGACTGCCAAAGCTTACCAAAAGATAAAAGAAACTCACAAATCGTCACGACACATCAAAGTACAAGAAAGTGATACAGCAAGGAGGCCTAACTAAAAGATCTTAACAACAGCGACTCCCTGTCCTCACTTTGTTTGTCTTGAGAGCAAGACAAGGAATGGGAGTGGATAACAGCCCCCGCACTTCCTGGAGACACATTTGACATCCGAGCCACAAGGACACCCCAATTAGAACAGGGGATTTAAGACTTTTGCTGGATGACCTAGAGGCTGAAGTTAAAGACGGTGACTGCAAAAGGACAAGCAGGCGAATATAGTAGAAGAGGAGCTCTTGCAGTATTTGAGAGGAGTGGGCGGCTTTGTGATGTAATGCCCAGAGACTGCACTGACATTGAGACACTGAGGAAAATGAGGGTGGGCGTCTGAACTCGTAACAGATAATGCAGTCTCCCCTTCAATCCATCTCTCCTCTACTATGACAAGCTGTGAGGTGGTCACACCTGAACAACCATCCACAATTGGTCTGATTTTGTAATTTATTTTCTAATTTAATAAAAACTTCCAATAAATAAAATGAAATCAACAGAAAATAATATCGGAGCCTAGCTCACCCTCTTTGTCTAAAAAGAAAATGTGCTCTGCTATACAAACAGGAAGCCTTAGTACCCTGAAACCACACTGAGGTGACAAAAGGGTGGTGCAGTGAGGCCAAGTTAACATTGCAAAGTCTCTCTTGACAAACGCAATGAGATGTCCCCATTGGATTTTTGGGTATATTGCAGGAATGTGTCATACTTATGTGTTTTGTTCCGCGGAATAATCTCCACATATTAACAACATTTTTACGATTTATTTTGTGTAATTGCAATTGCGAGAAGTAAAAAGCAATCCTTAGAATATAAACAAATTAGATCACGGTAAGGGGGAAAATAATACTGATGTTTGACCAATGAGTGTTAACCGTTTTGTCCATCCAATCAGGACCGAGTATTTTCAGTGGCCATGATAACACAGGTTCTAGTAATACTGTGTAAAGCTAAACACTAACTTTCCTATTATAGAGAATTTAGTGTAAGAAAAACAGATAGAACTAAGACTTTTGCTATCTTTTTTACTTCTTGTTGTTTTTCTCAGATCTAATTTCGTGCCCAAGAAGAATTAAATTAAAACAGTTTTATGTGATAAAACCGTGTTTGTATAAATGAGTTACCCTGTCGAGCACGTCCTTCGTGTGGGCGGCGGAGATGCAGAAGCGTGCCCGGGACTCGATGATGGGCGTAGCGGGGAAGCCCACCCCCACCACCCCGATGTTCCTCTTCAACATCTCCCTGCTAAACGCTCTGTGGGACAGAAGAGACGCGGCAAGAAATGACATACCAAAATATAGTTCTAATAAAGACATTAACCTTTGCAACATTATGGCAAGCTAGTATTGTTCATTGAGATTTATTGTTTAGAACATTTATACTTATAAAAACACATAGGTTTTATAAGTGGGTATTGTCCACATAATTCAATCTATTACAATATGTAATGTAAAGCGCTAAAATAAATACTATGACTAATTATAAGACTAAGACCTTTTTTTTTAATAAAGCCTATAATTAGGGCTTACCTTAAACATCTTCCTGGATCTTATATTCATTTAACTTTATTTGTGTTTTACATTCAAATTAGCATTTAGTTAATTAGATTGTTTATGTTGTCATGCATTATGTATTCAGTTTACATTTTCATTCATGTTTGATCTGCACACACTGTAAAGCCCCCTGATGAAAATGTGTTTTTTTATTAATACAAAAATCAGGATCTTTTGAAATATGTAAATCTGGCTACATCTCATATCAAATAATATTATTCATCATTCTGTATTGTTCTAGGCTTTAATGCGTGAAAACGACTTTAAGCAGCGAGTCAAATCTGTAGGCTTACGCTATCTTGGCGGGCATGTAGAGCATCATGGGTACAACAGGCGAGTCCTCGTTTCCGTAGATGATGAAGCCCATCTTCTGAAGCTTCCTGCGGAAATACACTGCGTTCTTTGCCAGCTGATGCACACGGTCACAGCCTGGGGAGGATCAGAAGAGAATTTTTAACAAGAGTTGACAGAAAAGCAATGGAGGAACCACAATGCTATTAAAGTTAATGATCTTTTAGTTTGGGGGTCTTTGACAATTGTCAGCCCAAAGACCCCAAAGCTAAAGCAGGGGACTCTTACATATGTATACAATTGAGTTGGATATAAGGTTCGGAACCGTCATTTGGAATTCAAGTAAGAACTGATCCAAAACGGCCCATACCAGAACAAAAGCTTTTGTGAGCAGTGACGTGATGGGAGAACTGACGTATTGTAGGCCTTTTCCCAAATTAAACTCTATGCTTTTCATTTAGAAGTTTAAAATTACTCAAATCGAGTTGCATAGATAGAAGCGGAATCTCTAAGCAGAACCGGAATCAAAACCAGAATTGTGAAATGCAAACGATACCAAACCCTAGGGCGTTTTTATGCAGTCGCTCTGAATTTACAATATTATAGAATTTTTAAGAAAAGCACCGGTAAAGTGACTATAGAAGATGGGGATTATTTGAACAGAAACCGAAACGCCTGTTTGTTGGAACAGATTGATCGGGAGGATCCTGCTGGTTTGTGTTGTGACTTTTATCGTCGTCTCCCATCGCTGGCAGACTGAGCGGTGAAACTCATTTAGACAAACATATCCCGGTTGATGCTCATAGTAAAACAAAGTCAAATAAAAATATAGTACTAAAAACACAGATGATAAAATCCAAGGGGGGCAAAAATGATTTGTCTTACAACAGTGGTGATACGCATTACGCACAAGGATTCATGGGTAACAGTTAGACTCACTACATATTACCATAATGTGTATTTCCAGACATTTTAAATGTGAGAAGATGAGAAATATTTATAGCGAGTCTGATGAAAAAAGAAAGGGAAAAAAAGAGTGTTGATAAGCAGCTGAAAACTAACACATTCATGAGATGTGAGAGGAAACATCTGAGGGGTGCAGCCCTCGGGGGAGGGGGAGTTTTGACTTCTCTGTAATGTTTTCCTTCTGCCACAGGAGATAGAAGATTCACTGATTCTTTAAAAACACAACTACAAACTATGTTAATTTGCCCACAAATGTAGTCACAAGGAACTACTATTATCATAATATTGCACCAAGACATACACGTCCATGCAAATAAAATAAAAAGTAGGTCAACAGAAATGACTTTTTTGATACACAAAAGCTAACCTCACCTCAAGATACATCTGGATTGATCTTGGTATAATAAATGGGAAGAAGAAGGGTTTCTATTTATTATATCTCACACGGATACAGCTTCAACTCTGTGTTTTTTTAGTAGTAGTAGTGTGAAATAAAACTACTGATTTCATCAGTTTGTACTGACACTCAGTGGCAACTGCTTACAATTACAGCATTGAAATGAAATCCACTCAACACTGACAATCTGAACATCTCAATTCTTAGTTCATATTTAAATGATAAGATATGCTCTTTCAATAAAACAACTCAAGGCCAAGTACGGTACTCTTCATTATGATGACATCAAGGTTTTTTTTTATGTAGTCAGGACATGATGCACTCAATTTGTCACAGATAGTGATTAAGGAGACACTCTAAAGGTGAATAGGTTACAAACACCCAACTAATAGCTCACTATGAAAGTTCCCCCGTTGATTACTTATATTAACGAAGACATATAATGCTAATTTCAGGTTTGTATTTTGTACCTCTGCTGTGACATGTGTCCATGCTTTAATGTTGAAAAAGCTCTCTATTTTTCTCATACTGCCTGTGCTGCACATTGTCTTATTAAATAAAGGTCTATTTGCAATCTATTTTACAACAGAAAACTCAAAATTGGATAAAAACTCATTCTTGTTTCAGCAGCATAAAAAAAGCATTAAAAAAAGCAATCTTGTAGCCTATGGTGTTAAGCCTTAGAGACACAACTACACAAAGTGATGCCCTATCAATCTATTTGTTCCTGAATGTTAATTAAAACATTACAGGGCACTGGGGGGCACACTCAACATATAATAGGCAGTGTTGGGCAAGTTACTTCCAAAATGTAATATATTACATATTACTTATTACTGTCTTTTGAAAGTAATAAGTTACATTACAATATTAATGTCTCTGAAATGTAATGAGTTACACTACTTTGTAGTTACTTTTGAGTGACTTTCACCAAAATAACCGCAAAAGAATGGCTAGGTATTTTAAATGCTAAAATGTAGTTTAGTGCAGCTCATTATACATCCAGTGAAGGGCAATGTGGTATAGCATAACAACTGTGTAGGCCCTTAAGGCTACTAACAACTTGTATTACACGGCTTAGTTGAATACTTGATTCTGATTGTAAATTATTAACATGTGACACGTTGTTAATACAGCAGTACAGACCACTGTCAAGGACTATAATGAAGGTTGCTAAGGAGGATCAAGAAAGAGAAAGGAAAAGAGGTTAAAAGATGGAGCGCTGGACGTCAGATAGATCACCAGAAGAAGGCAGACAGGAAGTAAACAATAACAGGACATGGAATGGGCTCTGTAGTGTGTTTAGTATATGGCCGTGTACAGGCCCGGTTCCAGAACAAAATGACTCGGGGTGCATCTGAGATTACAGGGGGTGCAGCAGTAGTTGGTTTACATGAGCAATAGTGGCCGGCAACAGCAATGAAAAATAGCATTGATGGTCCCCAATGAACAGATTATGGCATTTGTTATGTTTTGAAACCAAGCAAGTGAGAACATTTCAAGTGAGTTAAAAGTGCAATCCTGAAATATTTCATATAGTCCAAAGTGAACTATGGCAAGGAAAAGCACAAAAGCTTCAAAACTGTACTGATAAAACAAATGAGAACATATTGTAAATCAAGGCAAATATGATTTGAACCAGCTCATGGTTTGAAATGGCAAACATTGAAAAGCAAAAGTATTATTAAAACCATGTACTAAATCATCACCTTGGTCCCATCATATACTTTTTATTATTATTATTATTACATTGCATTTAGCTGACGCTTTTGTCCAAAGCGACTTACAATAAGTACATTCGACCAGGAAGACACAACCTTGAAGAAAACAGAATCATATAAGTATATCAGGTTTCATAGAGCCAAACATTTCAAGTGCTAACTGGCTTTAGGTAATCCAGTCCTTTATTAGTATAAAAGTGCTTCGTTAATCGTTCTAACGCTCGAAGTGGAGTCGAAAGAGATGAGTTTTCAGTTTGCGCCGGAAGATGTGCAAGCTATCTGCCGTCCTGATGTCAATGGGGAGCTCATTCCACCATCTTGGAGCCAGGATAGCAAACCCACGTGTTTTCGCCGATGGGAACTTGGGTCCCCCTCGCGGCGAGGGCGCAACGAGTCGTTTGGCTGATGCAGAGCGTAGTGCACGCGCTGGGGTGTACGGTTTAACCATGTCCTGGATGTAGGAAGGGCCAGATCCATTCGCAGCACGGTAAGCAAGTACCAGTGTCTTGAAGTGGATTCTAGCAGTTACCGGAAGCCAGTGAAGGGAGCGGAGGAGCGGAGTGGTGTGGGAGAATTTAGGAAGGTTGAAGACCAGACGAGCCGCTGCATTCTGGATGAGCTGCAGAGGTCGGATGGCACATGCAGGTAGACCAGCCAGGAGGGAGTTGCAGTAGTCTAGGCGTGAGATGATGAGAGCCTGGACCAGAACCTGAGTCGCTTTCTGAGTCAGCTGGGGACGTATCTTCCTGATGTTGTAAAGCGTGTATCTGCAGCAGCGGGTTGTAGCAGCGATGTTTGCAGTGAAGGACAGGTTGTTATCTAGGGTCACTCTGGGAAGAGAATATTTACTGTGCTTGAAAACTGGTATCACATCATCATGTGAGGTTGACTTTGTGACCTGGAGAACATTTCAGCTGCAACATTAGCTTGTTGATAAACTTGGGATATGAGATATTTTTGTAGCCATTCGTGGTGAAGGCATCTGTGCTATTGTATGCATTATTTTTGACCCAACATTTCTACAGGCATGGCAGAATATGGCACTATTTTCACATGAATATTCTAGCCATTGTCTATTTGTATGCCACGAGCTGCAAAATGACCGCCTAACCCCACTGTACAGGCGGGTACTCGTTTAGATATACCTGTAGGCTCTGTTTTGCCGTTTTTTTTACTGTATAAAAGCTAACCCGCATACATTTGCATCAGACAAAACTAAACTGCAATCCAAAAAACACTTCAGTAGCTCCACTAGCTGAAAAGAATCCTCTGGTTACCTTTAATGTTGTTTTGCCACTCACCTATCGTTGTGCCATCCTCTCCCATAATGCACTTCATAGAAGTGATGATTTGCTCCACCACAGGTGGAGACATGGAGGATGCGTAGACCGCACTGTGGGAATGGGAGCGCAGGTACTCAATAAGCTCCTAAAGCCAGCAGATACACAGGAGATGTAAGGAGACGTGCATGGAAATTAATTATGTTGTACATCCATTGAGAGTTAAGAAACTGAGGTTCTTTTGATAGTAAAGGTTGCTGACCCTTGGCTTGGCCTAACCCTCTTATGTATATATATATATTTAAATGAAACCGCAGACAAATAAAAATCCTCCAGCCTCACCCTTTTCCCCGCGATGTATCCCCCTGCAGCACCGAAGCTCTTGGTGAATGTTCCCATCATGACGTCCACATCACAGGGGTCCAGGCCAAAGTAATCGACCACGCCTCTGCCTCTAGGCCCCAGGGCTCCGATGCTGTGGGCCTCGTCTAGGTAAAGGTAGGCCTTGTAGCGCTTCTTCAGAGCAATCATTTCTGGCAGGCGCACTATGCTGCCCTCCATGCTGCAGGGAGGAAAGGACAAAATGGAAGGGATTAAAGCCAGGGTCAAGCAAACGTCCTTGTTGATTACTGACTAAGGGAATACAGTATGTTCCCTACTCAAGAACTTAATAATACGAATGTTTTTCCACGAAAATAAGCACGTTTATGTTGTTTACAACATGGTAAAACTCACTAAAAAACAGGCGATATACTTTGTTCCTATTGACGAGTACATTTTTTATATAGATTATAAAGATAATAATGTACACTGATATAATGTACACTAATGTACAATGATACACAGAAAAGTGTATAATTAGCTGGAGCCTTTTAACTGCAGATTGCTATACAAACAAAAATGCAATGTTGCTTACTGTGTGTACAACCAGTTAGATCTATCCCAGCACTAAATCAGCTGTCAACTTGTAATCCTGTCCTAATACAGCTACTAATGCTGAATCTAATGGAACCACACGAGCCATAAATAAAAGATAAGAGCTACTTTTCTGACATTGAACAGTAAGGAAATCTTATCTTTAGAGCTGATGACTACCATTGTTCTACTGTTTTTGGCTCAATGATTCTTATGGCACAATAGTAAACATTGATGTCCCTCCTCCTTCCTCTCAGCACTGATAACACCTGATTTGTGTGGTCTGAAACAACGTTTTATCTTTGAATAACCTTGTCACTAAAAAACAAATCAAAAGAATCACAAGGGTAGATCAACAGAACGTGAATGGTAGGTTTCGGTAAATATTTAACCTGGGGAGAAAATGGGTAAGGTACCTGTAAATGCCCTCTACAACAATGAGAATCTTCTTCCATGGTCTTCGGGTCCTGGGCTGCCCGTGAACTATGGCCTCCCTCAGCAGTTTCTCCAGGCTCTGCATATCTGGAAAGGAAACCAGGAGATTTGAGTCAGATTCTTCAATAAAGTTGCCCTTGTTTTTAATCACATTAGCCATGGGGAGACCCCGTTGATTTGTATTTTTTAAGATTCAGAAAGAAGAAACAGATGTACTTGTATATTAACTTGTGGTGATTTTTGGTCTGTGGCTATAACTGACAAAATAAGCTACTTTAACAAACAACTAAAATGATTAAGCTGTAAAAATAGACAGGCAACTGGTTTTAGGCAGCTAGCTGAGGTTTTGGCTAGTTAGCTGGTAGCTAATGGCTAAATGTGTAAAGGTTACTAGCAAACCCGAACCAGCTAATAACTCAAGCAGCAAACTTTTAGTAACATCAATTAATTATTATTATTAGATAAAAGATGACCAAGATGGATTATCCACTAAATAAGACACCAACTGATCTACCCGATTAAAAGTAAAAAAATGCTAACCACCTTTAATGTGGACATTGCTTCTGAGCTAGTTAGCCCAATGGCTATCAAACAGCTAGAGGCTTATTATTTTTAGGCTAATTAGTAGTGCTGTAGCGACGCGTCGACTTCAAAATATCGTCGACGACATATTTCCGCGTCGACGCGTCGCTACACACACACGTGGGTCACCCAAAGCAACAAGCAGTTCGCAATCGCACTTCAAACACAATGGAGACTGAAACGGCTACCACCTCCTCCTCACAGGATTGCGCACGAAGCCCCAAACGAAAACATCTCGCCCTAGGTCTTCAAAAGCATGGGAATATTTTAAAGTTAGTCCAAAACGCAAAGATATTTATATATTTATATCTCACTGAGACTGCTGCATAGCCTAGCAGAAGCAGCAGCTAGCTGTGGTGGCTACCATTAGCAGCTAGCATTTGCTCTCCGATTTGTACATAAAATGGAATTATGGATTATAAATTCAATCATTTTTTTATACATAGACGTTAAAAACCTATGGATTAACCGATTCAGCCGCGTTTTTTCTCATTTTATTGCCATTGAACACGTCTTTTGATCAGATTACGGTGGTGAGACGATCTCCCGAGAAGCTCTGTGAAGGTACGTGTTGTGATGACTGTATTTGCTTCCCCTGTCGCGAGTCCGGATCACTCAGTGATGATACTATATACCTACATAATCTGTGGAGTCTCAGCTTTAATCGGATATATTGTATGTGCAGCTATAATAAGTAATAAGGGTACTTTTATCTTGAGTTCTGTGCCAATGTCTGTTAGCATTTTTCGCTCAGGGGTCATTTAGATGCTTCTTATGAGACTTGTGTTTTGTTTTGGTAAACATGGTTTGTATCGTCAGTTAGCTGAGATTATTTCCGTTAATCTGGTATAACACATTAATCGGTTCTTAAATATTAAGATCTCCTGAGACACAGCATCGTGAAAAAAAATTGTTTTAATTACGTTTTTTATGAATTGAACAACAGAAAAATAATCGTTAGATTAGTCGACTAATCGATCAAATAATCGCCCGATTAATCGTTTTCAAAATAATCGTTTCCCCCCAGCACTACTAATTAGACACATACACACATTATATTTATATAGTTAAGCATAATCCATATCGTGTTCTATAAGCAAAATCTTTTATGAGCTCCCCTAAATACAATTCTCAATGTACTTGATTTAGCATGCGAGCACAGTTATGGGGGACCCTGATGTAAACAAGACGAAAGTCTTTCTCTGGTCTGCATCCCCTTAACAATTGTATGTTTTGAGCTGTACTGTACTGTACCCAATATACAAGCTGTTAATAAACTTTTCAATCAATCAATTCAATCAATCAGTTAGCAACTAGCACTTCTCCTCTGCAGTTGACGTACATTACAATCACAGATACTTGTTTTTGTGTGAATACAATGAAGTTTGAGTAACAGAAAGAGTGGTTACAGAAAACAGATACAGTCTCAAAATAACTTTTTCACAGCAGACTTTTCAAATTGTATTCAGAAAAAGCACAGTTACCAATAAAATAACAAAGGCTATTGTTCCGTTTATTCAAATGTCTCAGTAAGCTGCGAGTGTGGCAGTGAGTCAGCATCTACAATACAAGGAACATAAAAACCGTCCATAAAAGTGGCCAGTTTTCTTCTTTTGTTTTACCCTGAGCTTTTTATATTAGCAGAATGTCAAAAATATCTTCGATTAAAAAGGGTACTCCTAATTAAAAAAAAAACTAAAAAGAAAAACACATTGTATTTTATAGGTTCTAGGTTTTTTGTATTGCACTTCCACACTAAAGAATTCTGTATAGAGACCTTTAACATGTCAAAGTCCACGTGCTTCAACACTTTCCAGGAAATAACAATCCGGCTGTGTCAGGCTTTAACCAGAACACTTAGTTAAATGCCCAGTATTGTATGTGGCACTGTAAAGCATGTCAACGACTAAATCAAAGAAAGTAATGACGTCAAATAACAAGAAAGCGGCAACCTTCATCACATGAAGGCAATCTTTGTTTTGCAGAGTCATTCAGAATATCAATGATGTATTAGACCATGAAAATAATAATAATGATAATCACACACACACACCACACACACACACACACACACACACACACACACACACACACACACACACACACACACACACACACACACACACACACACACACACACACACACACACACACACACACACACACACACACACACACACACACACACACACACACACACACACACACACACACACACACACACACACACACACACACACACACACACACACACACACACACACACACACACACACACACACACACACACACACACACACACACACACACACACACACACACACACACACACACACACACACACACACACACACACACACACACACACACACACACACACACACACACACACACACACACACACACACACACACACACACACACACACACACACACACACACACAACACACACACACACACACACACACACACACACACACACACACACACACACACACACACACACACACACACACAACACACACACACACACACACACACACGAAAAATACTACTTGTGACTCACTGTTGTGTTTGAAGACTCTGATGGTGGACCCGGAGAGTCTGGCTCCCAGGACCAGAGAGGCGTGGTTCAGTTCATCACTCAGAAGCAGACAGCCCTGCAGGACACCAGAAACACTTCAATATGTACACACGTCGCATTTGGAATAAAATAAAATAAAAATATTTATATGAAGATAAGAAGTTTAAGTAAAATGTCCTATAAAATATATTAGAATAAAAAAAATATATATACAAAAAAAGCATAATTGTTATGTAAACACGCAAAGTAAAAATATGCGGTAGAGATGAAAAATAATAAAATATTTATACAAAAATAATAATATTTATACAAATATAATTTAAACTAAAGATGTGCACTATAATAACTAAATGAAATAAATTAGAATAATGATATTCATATAAACCAAAGTTAAAGTAAAAATTGGAAATAAAATAAATGCAAAGTAAAAAAAAATGCAATAGAGATGACAAATGTTTTAATACACACATATATATATATATATATATATATATATATATACTGAACAAAAATATAAACGCAACACTTTTGTTTTTGCTCCCATTTTTCATGAGATGAACTCAAAGATCTGAAACATTTTCTATATACATAAAAATAACCATTTCTCTCAAATATTGTTCAAAAATCTGCAAAAATCTGTGATAGTGAGCACTTCTCCTTTGCCGAGATAATCCATCCCACCTCACAGGTGTGGCATATCAAGATGCTGATTAGACAGCATGATTATTGCACAGGTGTGCCTTAAGCTGGCCACAATAAAAGGCCACTCTGAAACGTGCAGTTTTGCTTTATTGGGGGGGTCTGGGGGGGTCCGAAATCCAGTCAGTATCTGGTGTGAGGGGTAGGATTAGGGTTAGGGATAGGGTAATGTTGTGAATTGAGTGGCCCATGGTGGTGGTGGGGTTATTGTATGGGCAGGCGTATGTTATGGATGACGAACACAGATCACTCAATTCACAACATTACCCTAACCCTAACCCTAATCCTACCCCTCACACCAGATACTGACTGGTTTTCGGACCCCCCCAGACCCCCCCAATAAAGCAAAACTGCACGTTTCAGAGTGGCCTTTTATTGTGGCCAGCCTAAGGCACACCTGTGCAATAATCATGCTGTCTAATCAACATCTTGATATGTCACACCTGTGAGGTGGGATGGATTATCTCGGCAAAGGAGAAGTGCTCACTATCACAGATTTTTTCAGATTTGTGAACAATATTTGAGAGAAATGGTTATTTTTATGTATATAGAAAATGTTTTAGATCTTTGAGTTCATCTCATGAAAAATGGGAGCAAAAACAAAAGTGTTGCGTTTATATTTTTGTTCAGTGTATATATACACACACACATATATATATAATAAATAAAGTAAAAAAGGCCAATAAAAAAATACAAATATTTATATAAAACACAAGTTAAAGTAAAACAAATTATATAATTTTTTTTTTTCCATTTTTCTTAAACATAACAAGTTAAACTAGAATCACACATTTATACAAATATAAGTTATAAACGACTTTAGTTGCTGATGGGGAAATAAGCTGTGTTAGTCTATTTACTGTGTATACCAACAGGAAGTGTTTCCTCATATCCTGCCACGTGGTTCTGTGTCTGTGTACTACTATCTGGGCATAGATTTGTCACATAATTATTTGTGTCAACATTAAAATAATTTGTGTGTAAATATGTAATTTGTAAATGTAAAACACCATCCACAAATGCATTTAAAAGATTTGCTAACTCACAAATACATTTGCAAATGTAAAACGGATCCGCAAATACGCTAAATATTGTCACAAATAAAAAAAAGATCTGTGAATATCTCTCTCCAACATTGATAACTTTCGATCAGGCATTTGTGAATGTAACGTAACCCTATTACGTAACCCTATTACAACAGAGATCAACAACCTATAACAGGGCCTATGCACAGAATGCAGATATTCAATACTCATTCTTGTTTAAGAATATGAGCATGTCTACTCAGGGGAGAGGCGGGTGCGGAGACTATTCACAATCAGGCCAGCTGTAGAGAAGACCCTCTCAGCTGGAATTTGGGCATAAGATGAGGTTTGAGTCTGCGTGATCTGTGTGTAGGGAGGGGCAGCAGCCATATCATTAGCTAGAACTAGCTAGATCTGATGGATTTGGACATAAACGCGAGTGAAGTATAACCGGACGCGAGAGAGAGAGATCAGCACAGCTCTGCCCGCTGTGAGGGACCGGTGAGCGGAGCAAAAACACACCTTTAGACCTGACACATTTAGCTATGGCAATGTCGTATACATTCAATTATTCCATTTGATCATATGTAATCAACTTCGGCACCCCTCCCAAAAAAATAAAATTACAATAAAAATATTCATAACTCATATTCGAATACCTGAATAATTTCGAATATTCGATTAATCGTTCCCATCCCTAATGCATATATTCCTGTCTATTGCTTTTATTTGTATTTAATGTTATTATGTTTATAATAGGGCCGGGACTTTAACGCGTTAATTAAGATGAATTAATTACACAAAAATTAACGCGTTAAAAAAATTAACGCATTTTAATCGCACTTATTTTTGCACCGTGGAACGTTTCTCACTGGATGAGTTTCAGGCGTACCGATTATACTGGAGCACCAACTAACGTTCATGACTTCAGACAACAACAAACCACAGTGAACAACAGTGGGAAATGTTGTTTTAAAAAACGGACGGATGGAAGCGTCGATAAGAGCACGGTTGTGTGCAAATTATGCCAAAAGGAATTCGCATATCACCGCAGCACATCAAGCCTCAAGTATCACCTCAATGCAAAACATATAGCAGCTAGCGTGGAAGCTAGCGTGGACGTTAGCCTCTTTTATCGCGTTCACACCAAAAAGAGCCGGTACTAAAATTAGTTAATGAGAACCTTTTTACCCCCACGAAAGTCCCTGCTAGAGAGCAGAGAGCTGCTAGAGAGCAGGGACTTTCGTACGGCTCTCTTGTGAGAAAAGAGCTATATTTCTGATTGGCTGGGCGGATTGCAAACCACGCCCCGTAAAACTCCCAAAAAGTTTTGTGAAGCCGCCATTTTATTATCCTCCCATTAGCATTATTAGCATTAGCCCAGCGCAGAAACGCAGAGAGACTAACTTATGGCAACACAAAATAAAACATGGGAGCGGTGGAGATGAGGAGGTGTCGGCGTTCTGGCGATTTACTCGGAAGGCTTCAGTAGAAGCTGCTGGGACTCCCAGCAGCTTCTACTGAAGCCAGTCCCCAACTCCGGGGACTTCCGGCCGGGGACTTTGGGCGGCAGTATACGCCGTGAAGTGGTTTGCGGCCTGCCAGTAAACCCAAAGCAGAAGAAGAAGAAGTGACGTCAGCGGCTTCATTTGCCTAATCCACCCCCAGGTTCAAAGAGTTCTCATGAACTAAATTCTCATGAACCTTTGTGGGAAAAGTACTGCGGTGTGAATGCGCCTAATGGTATACTAAAATCCATGTGAAAAAAAATTGCTTCTCACTGTTCTCAGGTCAAATATGTATATGCGATTAAAAATGCGATTAATTTCGATTAATTAATTACAAAGCCTCTAATTAATTAGATTAATTTTTTTAATCGAGTCCCGGCCCTAGTTTATAATTTTTTCCACACATTTCACAATTTGGGATGAATTAAGTATCTATCTATCTATCCATCCATCCATCTATCATAGATAGATTTTTAAAAAACATTTTTAAAGACAGGAATATATGCATACAGTAGAAAGGATACAATGAATATTATAACATTTAATGTAGCCTTACTATGAAGGCTAACCTAAATACGGTGCTTTTCTACAGATTACTTTATTACTGCACTGGTAAGGTAAAACTAGGCCGATTAATAAAATGTGAAGTGCTTTGTAACTTTGACCCGCTTGACTGAATACACAACAAACAATGAAGAAAGAGTTATCTCTGGGGCTGCTTCGCTGCCAGCTGTAGCTCCCCGGGACCCAAAAGTGGCGTAGCCTGTAGCCTAGTTCAACATCAATGCATACGAAAGTGCTCGATATATGCTGTATTGAACAAATAAACTAACTGTATCACTATAACATGATGATGATGGTGATAAAGAATGCATCTAACGTTCCGCTGTTCATTATAATACAAAAACAGTGCATTAAACAAACCATCATGCTCTTACTTTGCAGAGATTTGAGATCCGCGAGCGCATTTTTGGTTGACAAATACAAAATGGATTCACAAATGCCTGATCGAAAGTTGTCAATGTTAAAGAGAGATATTCACAGATATTTTTTGTATTTGTGAAAATATTCAGCGTATTTTCAGATCCGTTTTACATTTGCAAATTTTTTTGTGAGTTTGCAAATCTTTTAAATGCATTTGCGGATGGTGTTTTGCATTTACAAATCACATATTTACACACAAATTATTTTTCTGTTCAACAAATCTATGCCCATATTGCAACATATAGGACATGTGACTGAGCAAGCCAAAGAGCGGAGACAAGCAATGGAGGGGAACGTTTGCAGCAATGGTATTCTTCAATAGTAAATCACAGCTCTACAGAGGAAACATCTACCTCTTGTGGTCTTACCTTGCCAGACAGCGCTGGAATGTTCATGGAGTTGGTTGCGAACCCCATCCCAAAAGACATGGCCGACTCCACGCCCAGGAACCTGGCCACCAGCTTCTCCAACTCCTCGTGTCTGTCCAGGTTACCTGAGGAGCAGACAAACAGGAAATCACAATAAATACATTAATTCATTGAAAATGATCCTATTCTATATGGATTTATTTGACTAATTTCAGTATTTTATGATTGCACCATTATGTTCTTGCACTATCTTATTTTAGTAACACCATTTTGTTTCTTAAACATTGAGGAAAAGTAACTGCATATACACTGAACAAAAATATAAATGCAACACTCTTGCAACACATCTCCTTTGCATAGAGTTGATCAGGTTGTTGATTGTGGCCTGCTAGGCTTAGGGTTCAACCCTAACATGTCAGTGGGTGACATGTTAGGGTTAAGGTTAGGATTAAACCCTAAGCCTAACAGGCCACAATCAACAACCTGATCAACTCTATGCGAAGGAGATGTGTTGCACTGCGTGAGGCAAATGGTGGTCACACCAGATACTGACTGGTTTTCGGACCCCCCCAGACCCCCCCAATAAAGCAAAACTGCACGTTTCAGAGTGGCCTATTATTGTGGCCAGCCTAAGGCACACCTGTGCAATAATCATGCTGTCTAATCAGCATCTTGATATGCCAAACCTGTGAGGTGGGATGGATTATCTCGGCAAAGGAGAAGTGCTCACTATCACAGATGTTTTCAGATTGGTGAACAATATTTGAGAGAAATGGTTATTTTGTGTATATAGAAAATGTTTTAGATCTTTGAGTTCATCTCATGAAAAATGGGAGCAAAAACAAAAGTGTTGCGTTTATATTTTTGTTTAGTGTATATAGCACCTTTACCACAACCTCTCAAAGTGCCTTTACATACACGCCAACATGAAGAAGGTCCTGCCGAAGTACTACCAACACATCAGCTGCCCGACGCACGGGGGAAACATACTGGACCATGTTTATTCCCCTTTTCGACATGGATATAAGGCTCTCCCTCGCCCTCCCTTCGGCAAATCAGACCACATCTCACTGCTGCCTGCTTACAAGCAGAAACTCAAACGGGACAGACCGGTAACAAAGAGGAGTCAGATTCAGGCCCCGGCCACACGAAGACGAAAACGGCTAAATGCATAGGATTAACGCAATCGCAAAAAGCTTCCGTCCACACGCAATATTCACCGGATAGTGTCTGTCCACACGAGACAGCTCCGTTTAGCTCCAACCGCTGGAGAAGCTGCAGTACATATGCAGGAGCCTGTACGTGGCGCTGTAACTTCCTCCACAAAAGCAGCGAAGAAGCATGGTTGTCATGGTTGCCCTTCTGTTTATTCTCCGCGGTGGGGGCCAAGGGAACCGGGCAGAGTTTTTCGCCAGTCAACGTGTATTAAAGTTTAAATCTTCCGACACAATTATAAAAGTGCCGGTCAAAGGTCTTTGTTATTTATTGAGCTTTAAAACAAATGAATAATGACTATATAATATAATAATAAAATACATGGAGCCTCTCTTTTCCCTCCCTCTCTTCGGACAGCGTCAGTGTCCGTTTCATGCAGCAGCTGATCCAGTTATGAGTGACCCGGCCGACAGTAAAAATAAACATATTTATAACTAGTTTAGGTAGTTTGAGAGGTGTCTCCGTCCTGTCAGATTAGACTTCACTCGCGTTTATGTCCATATCGAGAGAAAGATAAATAATCTGAATTCAGTGTGCAGTTTACTTTGACGCGGGGGTGAGCAGCAGAGGCGGGGCTAGTGCCTCATCATTATCAGAAAATGATCGTATAGGGCGTACACACGGAGCCGTTGGACCCCTGCTGGAAGGTGAACCAAGCCTCAAATCTCTGGCAGACTGAAACACAGTTTCCTCAAGTATTTCCCTGTATTTTCCTCCATTCATCACTCCTATTTTTACCAGCTTCCCAGTCCCTGCCGATGAAAAACATCCCCACAACATGATGCTGCCACCACCATGCTTCACTGTGGGGATGGTGTTCTGAGGGTGATCAGAGGTGTTGGGTTTGCACCAGACATAGCGTTTACCTTGATGGCCAAAAAGTTCAATTTTAGTCTCATCCAACCACAGGACCTTCTTCCACATGTTTGGGGAATCTTCCACATGCCTTTTGGCGAACCCCAAACATGTTTTCTTATTTTTTTTTGCGACTCTTCCATAAAGCCCAGCTCTGTGGAGTGTACGGCTTACTGTGGTCCTGTACAGATTCTCCTCTCTCTGCTGTGGAGCTTACCAGCTCCTTCTGGGTTATCCTCGGCCTCTTTGTTGCCTCTCTGATCAATGCTCTCCTTGCACGGTGTGAGTTTTGGTGGGCAGCCCTATCTTGGCAGGTTTGTTGTCGTGGCATATTTTTTCCATTTTAAAATAATGGATTTAATGGTGCTTCGTGATGTTCAACATTTGTGAGATTTTTTTATAACCCAACTCTGTCTCATACTTTTCCACAACTTTGTCCCTGACCTGTTTGGAGAGCTCTTTAGTCTTCATGGTGTCGTTTTCTTGCTTAGAAAGGCCACTTGCTGTGGTATGGAAGACGGAGGCCTTCTACACAGGGGCGCCGCCAGGGATTTTGGTCCCCATGAAAAGATTTCACATTGGGCCCCACCACCAGGCCTGTCTGGCCTGGAGATTTAAACTCCGCACACGGAGCTCTGATTGGTCAGCAGGCGGTGCTTTCACTGAGTTGATCTCTTTTCGCTCTTTACGCCGGGGGCGGGCAGCGTCAGGTAACAAAAAAGTTATTTAGCCTTCCCAAACCTGAGTCTCACGCGCCGCCTATGATTACAATTATTATTTACAATGGACTACGCTTAGCTAACAGACTAATTTCCACCACTCATGGACCACACCCACCTTTTCTTTTGAAAAACTGGGTGACATACTGTCGCCCTTTAGTCCATCTCTCTTGTCTTTCTCTCCTTTCTTTTCTTTCTTGAAAGCCTGACTTTGTTAGTCGTTGAGACATCGTACACACGTAAGTACTAGCATCCCTCCTCACATGCTCTCACTAGTCTCTCTGCTAGAAAGGGCCGGGCGGTGCTGCACAGCGTTTGGAGGCAGGACCAAACCATTACATGTAAATAGAGGGGGGTGTTCGATGCATTGGATAATTAACTTTTGGAAGAAAATAAGTGAAATGAATCATAAGTTTAGTGAGTACATCATCAATATGACGTTATATTAATGTTAATTATTGATGATTGATGAAAGGTTACTTAAACATTTTTTTCTTAGTGTTCTAAAAATATTTTGGGCCCCTGTCAGTCACGGGCCCTTAGAATCATCCTAACTTTTCACCCCCTTACGGCGCCCCTGCTTCTACAACAGTTGTATATACAGAGATAATGAGGCACTTGATTGCACACAGGTGAACGTTATTTCAATAATTGTGTGACTCTGAAGGTCTTTGTTTGGGCTAAATAGCAAAGGGGGTCAATACATATGCACACACCACTTTTCAGTTTTACATTTTTTGTTATGTTTTAAAAACGTGCTCTTTTTTTCTTTCACTTCACCAATTTTGACTAACTTTGTGAGGAGTCTTGCCATAAAATCCCCCCAAAAATATTATATTATTTTGGGTTTTAATGCAAGAAAATAGGAAAAAAGGATCCTGAACTTCCTGACGGGCAGACCCCAGGCAGTGCGGGTGGGAAACATCACATCCTCCTCCCTGATCCTCAACACCGGTGCCCCTCAAGGCTGCGTGCTCAGCCCTCTCTACTCCCTGTTCACTCACGACTGCATGTCCACACACAGCTCCAACACCATCGTGAAGTTTGCTGATGACACGACAGTCATCGGCCAGATCACAGACGGCGACGAGACGGCATACAGAGAGGAGGTTGAAAACCTGACATCTTGGTGCCAGGATAACAACCTCCATCTCAACGTCAGCAAAACAAAGGAGCCGATTGTGGATTACAGGAAGCAGCAGAGAGAGGGACACGCCCCCATCGCCACCAATGGGACTACGGTGAAGAGAGTCAGCAGCTTCAGGTTCCTCAGGGTCCACATCACTGAGGACTTGACATGGACTCTTCACACCACCATCACAGCTCGACAGCGGCTCTTCTTCCTCCGCAGGCTGAGGAGGTTCAACATGGACTCCAGGATACTCTGCAACTTCTACAGGTGCACCATAGAGAGTATCCTGACCTTCTACAGGTGCACCATAGAGAGGATCCTGACCTTCTACAGGTGCACCATAGAGAGTATCCTGACCTTCTACAGCTGCACCATAGAGAGCATCCTGACCTTCTACAGGTGCACCATAGAGAGGATCCTGACTTTCTACAGGTGCACCATAGAGAGTATCCTGACCTTCTACAGGTGCACCATAGAGAGGATCCTGACTTTCTACAGGTGCACCATAGAGAGGATCCTGACCTTCTACAGGTGCATCTTAGAGAGTATCCTGACCTTCTACAGGTGCACCATAGAGAGGATCCTGACCTTCTACAGGTGCATCTTAGAGAGTATCCTGACCTTCTACAGGTGCACCTTAGAGAGTATCCTGACCTTCTACAGCTGCACCATAGCGAGCATCCTGACTGGCTGCATCACGGCCTGGTACGGCAGCTGCACTGCCCTCAATCGTAAGGCTTTACAGAGGGTGGTGAAAACTGCACAGAACATCATCCATGGAGGACCTTTACTCCCAGCAGCTCAGGAAGAAAGCCCTCAGGATTATAAAAGACCCCCATCACCCCAGCCACAAACTGTTCAGTCTGCTGCCGTCTGGCAGGCGTTACCGAAGCATCCGGACAAAAACCACCAGACTCAGGGACAGTTTCATCCCACAGGCCGTAAGACTGTTAAACACCTGAACTGCTGAAACAACATCCACAATATTCATCTGGCTGCTACTTAAAAATGATTTATCTATTAACCTATATATCATATTTCAATGACTTGCATATGGACTCTTATTGCACTATTTCACTTTTTTAAACTATTTTCTTCTTGTATTTACTATTTACTTGCACTATATTTTTCAGTTTCTGTGTTTTGTGTTGCACTGTTGGAGAAGCCTGTGACACAAGATTTTCATCGGCATAACTACACTGAAGCTATGTTCGTTTGACAAATAAAGAACCTTGAACCTTGAACCTTGAATGAGTCAGAATTCTTCCATTCAAACCCATTGATACAGAGGAAGAGGCTGGAGGAAAGATAAACACACACCACTGGCCATCTGGGGCAATTTGGGGTTAATTATCTCGCCCAGGGAAAATCTGACATGCTGCAGGGGTTGGGTATCATACCACCGAACTTCCTGAGCCAACGTCACCTAAAAGTGCCTTCCTCCAGGGTTATCTGGGTGTTACTCACGTTTTCTAAAGTACATGTGAAATTAGAAAACACCGATTCAGATATTCGCCACTGTCTATCTTCAGTATCTATCTCTAAGCGGTTGACTAATCACAACAGAGCCGGCCAGCTAACCAATCAGAGCAGACTGGGCTCTGGTTTCAGACAGAGGGTGAAAAGAGGTGCTACAGCACAGGCATTATGAGAACAATAAAGAGCTTTTTGAACATTAAAGCATGGAGACACGTCACAGTAGAGACACTAAATACTGATATGAACCTGAAAACGAGCATAATGTGTCCTCTTCAAAGAAAATCAATGTTTGTTGTGCGGTATAAATAAAACAAAGATATATTTCCCCTTAAACTCTAGGTATTTACATGGTCAGTATCTAAACAGACTGCTTCATAATGCTTTATTTACAGTAGTGATTTCACCCCTGCACATTATTTCTGTATTCCAGTAATTGCAAAGCTCATGGAGGGTAAGTCTGTATTTTGGCAGGTGTTCATACCAAGCTCTTGTCTGGTACTCGCGACTCCCACGCCGTACTTCTTGGTGATCTCGGCTGCAGCATCAGCACACAAACCCTTGTTCTCAGCGAAGCCCAGGTAATTATAGGAGCCCAAGTTAATCACATCCTGCAACACCCGGCCTGATTGACTGCGAGAGAGAGCAGAAGAAGATCAGACAGAGGAAACAATCGATGAAAGGAATCTATGGTTTTTAATTTTCCCTTACACGAAAGTCCAGTTGTAGTCGGGGGACGTCCTCTCCAACAAGTCCATTGTGGCCCCTGGCACGCCGCATAGGGGCCGGTTCCAGTTGTCTCTGATACGGATGTAGATGTTTCTGGTGTAAAAGTTCTCGAAATCCTGGTAGAGGGGCACAAAGTCCTACACATGGACGAATAAAGAGGAGGAGAGAGGGGTACATTAGCTAAGCATCAGTATGGACATATAGTTAACATTGCAGATATTTACAATATTATTTTGGCAAGTGGTAATGTCATTGTGACCTAACAATATTTGTATTCAAGACATCCAATAGGTCATTCGGACAAAACAACATGAGAGATATCTGAAGTTTGACTACATTGCGACCAGGAAGAATGAAAATATCAAAGATATGTCAGTATTAGTATGTGGGGTATATCTAATAAAAAATGTAATATAAAATGTTATACTTGATAGAATACACAATTGAATTATGTATATTCTAATTCCAGTTTTGAGTTTGCTACGACATCATTTTGACTAGTTAAAACACAATATATTAAAAAGGAAAATTAAGGGAATTATGAATTTCTTGATTCTGAATCATGGCTACTCATAAATGCTTGGCAAAAGTTGTTCTAAATTTACGGGTCAAAATGTTGTTACAGATATCTAAAATTACAGTGTTGACTCGTATACATATAATTAAAAGCAACATGAATTAGAGCTCTGACATGGCAAAAAGAGGTTGCAGATATGGATGATGAAAATCCAATCCAGCTAATAACTGTAGAAGTCCTTGACCTACTGCAGTGAAGTGGTAGGAATGTATCAAATCTACCAGTAACATCAAAGAACTACATGCCAGGCATTGTTTGGAAAGCTTAGCTGGAAGGAATATGATCTTTCACATTAAAACCCATGACTGACAGTTCATGTTCCTTGGTTCTTGGTGGAAACATCCGTTGGGGGGAGCTAATGACTTCCCCAAGTCTATCTCACTAGCTTCCTTTCCTCAACATAACCAAATACTTCGAAACAATGGGCTTCACTATCAAAAGTTACACAACAGGTTGAAAACAATCCCAGTGGTCAAGGACGTGTTCCAAATGTTCTGATAACTCCGCCATTGGCTGTTTACTGACAAAATGCAACCTTAGGCGCACATTCCACTGAATTGCAAAGGATAAAAAGCGATTTAGAGGGAATATTAGTGTTATAGTGTTTCAACACAGAGAAAAACTTATCTTATCATCATTATCATTTCCATTTTGTGATATCATTGTGGTTGACAAGATCACATCAAATGCTCTGAGGTTTTGTTTGCAAAGTGTTGTTTCCTCTTCAAACACTTAAGAACTGCTGCTAACAGTGTGTGAAATACGAGAGCCCCGTAGCTTCGACTGTTGGTAAACTATGTGGAGTGCAAATATCACTTTAGTCCAGTCAAGTTAACAAAACAAGAAATGGATTAAGTCTAGAATTAAGTTTTTTTCCATTCTTTGTCACTGTTGTTTTGACATTAACATGGAAAACTTCCATACTAGAAGCAGCACGTGCTCAGCCTAGCAAATCACTTCCATTCAACAGTGTGCTGAATGCACACATTTCTGCCGATGCGAGGAGCAGCTGGCTCAATCTGGCAACAAAAAGAACATGTCGACAGTGTTCTTATGATAAATCTTACTGCTAGAAGAGTGGGCACTGTAAGTGTATCCATAGGGTATTAAATATTGAGAATAGGTAGCTAACGTTAGCTCGCTAACTAGAAAGATAGACAGCTAAAGTTGGCAAGTTGGCTAGATTGGTTATCAGATAGCTCACAATCGATAGGTAGTTAGATACACAGGAAGGCATTACAAAATGTCCCCATGAGATTTCAGGCCCTTTTCATACATCGTCATCCTGCAGTCACCAACAGAGAATGGAAGCTGTATAACCAGTTGGCTGCAGTGTAGCTGTTAATATTTTCTAATATAATTCATGATGTATAACGTTGCTGCTATTGCCAAACCAGAAAGAAAACAGATTTGCCTTTAAACAGAAAGTCAGGGGGGCTACATAAATGAATACAAAGCTGTGCACTAAAGGATCAGGTTTGTGGCTTCTCCTACCCTCTGTTCCTCCTTCTCCCCGGCGATGTTGCATCTTTCGATCTTCCAGTAACGGAGAAAGTCTCGCAGGTAGCCGAAGATGGTCAGAATGCCGTAGCTCATGTAGGTGAAGACGGCTGGCAGCATGGGCGTCTGCTCGTAAGACTCAACGAAGGGCCGACAGTACGGGACGCCATGATGCGATGTTGCATTGACCTGGAGACATGGAAAGCAAGCATTGTAGATAAATGACATGCACATAGGAATTGCCAGTTTTCATCAAATGTATCTCCCAATAATAGTATCTGTGAGTTCATATTACTATTTATTTTCATTTGGGAAATAACAATATTATAGATTTTGAAAAATGTAAATGTTCTGGTTGGAATATGCCCACAACAGAAAAGCTTAAAAGTTGACAGAATAATCATTACAATGATGTATTAAGTATTCAAACTAAATATTCTGTTTACTGTTGGTTTTATGTGGACCCTGTGCAGTGGTGGAACTAAAGTATGTACTACTAGCTTCTTTGTCTTGGACATTGTACTTCTAACTCCACTACATTTATTTTTATTACTTTAGTTAGCACAGGCAGTATGATAAAAAATACTTTTTTGAACATCTACATGTCACAGTAGAGGCACAAAATAAAAATATGAACCTGAAAATGAGTATAATAAGACCTCTTCAACCTTTCATGTTAAAATCCACTTCATATAAATGTGCAGCCTGACGTCCTGTGACTTCCTCTCCTTTTTTCCTAATGAGAAAACAGTTTGTCTTCTGTTATAGTTGGCTGAGATTGCTGCAACTCATTTAAAGGTGACTTATGTGCAGTCTTATTGTAAGTGGAGGGGAGATAACATGGTATCAGCTCTGGTGCAGCTGTACACTAACTATACAGGGAAGAAAACACTGTTTGACAAATGACAGGGGGGAAAGCTTTTGCATTCCAAATATGGGAAGATCTAGCTTGTGTTGATGTTGTGTTTTTATGTGCATTTGCAGCAGAGTGACTGATAAATAAACTCAACATGGATATGATCTTTTATACTGAAACTCCACATGTCTATTTTCTGGACAGAAGCTCACGACTCTCAGACTTGTTGCAGTTAGCCTTCCCCATCATGCGCGTTTCGGTGCTCATGGCTATTAGGCGCTGCATGTGACCAGTCATGCCTCCCTCTCAAATACCTTACAGAGTAGCAACGCTGACATCTGCACGCACAATAATCAGCTGAGGTTCACTCACCACTTTATCAGCCTAGTTAGCTGAAACATGAGCAGAAGAAACGGGGTTTTCCCAGCACTGCAATGGCTGGTGAGGACAATGACCTGTCAACAGTTATTTAGCTTCAAAATGTCAAGATGGAATTGATTTGAAGTGAACAACCGAGGAAGATGCAAGTATTTTAGCATGTTCAGTGTTTCCCCTGCCATTGTCTTGGCCCCGCCAACGGAGTCCCACGCCCCCCCTGAAATTCAAGGTGTTTAAAAAGAAAAAGAAAATTATAATTTTTTTATAAAGTTTTTTTAATTTATATATATATTAGGGCTGTCAAACGATTACAAATTTTAATCAGATTAATCACAGCTTAAAAATTAATTAATCATGATTAATCACCATTCGAACTATGTCCAAAATATGCCATTTCTTTATGTATATTGTTGTGGGAATGGAAAGATAAATGAAAGAAGGCGGATATATCCATTTAACATACAGTATCTATGTTTATTATAACATTTTTCTGCGTGTCAAAATGAAAGACAACCCACACACCTATCAATCATCAAACCGTGGGGTCTTAATTCATTACGTGTTGATTTCTATCAACGGGGGGCGTCTATCGTTATTCCAACCCAGTTTAGATTTTGCTTCCGCATTACGCAAGAACGTAGCTCTACGCGATAGCGTCATAGCCTTCTTCTTCGGCTGTTATAGCAACCTGGCGTTACATCTCTATGGGCGGCAAATATGAATCTGACAAGCGAAATACCGTCCTTTTAAAACGCCCATAATTATAATTATAATTATAATAATAAAATAGTGCTTCTTTGTCAATATGACTGACGACCACACTTATGCAGTGCTGAGGTAATGTTAATTCATCATTTAATATTAATTCCTGATGGATATAAGAGGGATACATTAGCAAACATCTGTATATATAGCCTATATAATGTTTCGTTTTTTTGTTTGTCATGTAACATATTAACGTTTTGACCTTCTGTTTAGGATGTAAAGGTATCTATTTAATATGTTATGTAATGTCTATTTTGTTATATAATACAACATATAACATTTGACATTAATAACATATAAACGTTTGTAAAATATAAAAATGAAATGTTGGGACATTTATAAAAATGTATTCCTTTACATAAAAGTGCTTTCCAGAGGTGTAAGAAGTGATAAGATCTTGAACTGTACTTGAGTAAAGGTACAAGTACCAGAGTGTAGAAATACTCAATACTTTTATTATATTGTGTTGTTTATATATATATGTATGTGTGTGTAGAAATGAATTAATATAAAGTGTATGTGAGTGTGTGTATAAATGAATGAATACATCTGTGTGAGTACATATAAGTGTGTGTTTATATGTTTATAAATGAGGGGGGGGGGGGGGGGGGGGGGGGGGAGCGCAGTCGGTTGGCGTAGTTTTGGCATAATTCCGTTGTACAGACCGACGTTAACAGCAGCTCTGTCTGTGCACACAGAGACCGACTCTGTCGTCCGGTGATCTAACCGCCTTCTGGAAAAGCTTCACAAGTACGTCGGTACGCAAATGCGCTTTGTGACACAAGTGACCGTACGCATTTCAGAGAGATTACGCACATAACCTGCGTACCAGTTATGTGCACCCCTGTACTACAGCAAAAGTATTCTCCGTCGGGACTTCCTGCAACAACACCACGCCGTTATCAAAGATGTTCTATTGAGAAGACGATCACTACGTGACAAAAGTTTTCAAAACCGTGGCTACTGAAATCAATCTTACTAGCTGCTGTCTGTGCAATTTACTCCGCCCGAGTTGGCAGACTTTATTTTGCTTACTTTAACATCATTTTTCATGGTGGGGCTAAGCCATTTCTTGGTATGGGTGTAGCCTACCCCAGCCATACTCTGACGCTGCCACTGGTGGCACGTATGGGGCGGGCCATTCTGCACATGCGTTAAATGCGTTAAATATTTTAACGCAATTAATTCAAAAAATTAATTACCGCCGTTAACGCGATAATTTTGACAGCACTAATATATATATATATATATATATATATATATATATATATATATATTGCACCAAATTGCAACTAATCTATATCTACTGTCACTTTTCACATTGAACATGTGCTCTTTCATTTTAAATAGTGAGTTTAGTGTTGTTGACCCTAAGAAACACTGATGCATTCCTCAATAACAAAAATCCACAGCTCCTCTCTCTGCTCCAGAGGATTTAAAATATATATATTCTAATGCAGCTTATTTAAATAAACTGGAAGATTTAAACTCATGTGTTTTCCTTTTCCTGTATTGTGTTCTATAGCTTTCTGTGCATGTAAATGATCTGCAAAGGCTAAAATCCCTGTGTTTCCTCCAGAGGGAGTTTCTCTCCCACACACTACCCCCCACCGCCTGCCTGCTAGGCCTACATTGGACTCTTTGTTTACTTCTGTAACATAGTGACAGCACTATGTAACACTCATGCTTCTATTGGCTAGGCTCCAACACATTGTACCTAATATGCTAAGGGTGGGACATCTCTAAGCATTTGACCAATCACAACAGAGCCGGTCAGCTGACCAATCAGAGCCAACTGGGATATCACAGTAGAGGTACAACATATAAATATGAACCCTAAATTAAGGCTCTTTAAACAAAGTAAAACTCTGTATCACAACATGACAATGAGTCTGAACGTTCACAATGTCTGAGGGGACATATTCATTTTCACAGAGGGTGAATCCAATGGTGCAAAATGAATGAGCGCCCTAGGACAATGTTGTTTTGAGGCACGCATGTAGTCTCTATGGACAGCAGGTGTATTGGTTCAAAGTCTCCCTATTCACTAACTCATCATCTTTTTTATGGAGGGAGTTGCTCACTTTTACAAACTTGTATAGCCACTGAAGTGTGCAATATACACCATCAAATGAGCCTAAATGCTGACGAGTATGTTATAGTTTAAAAAACGGAAATAAGAACACAAAGTAATATACTAAAGTGTGCACCACATAACAATTACCCTACTTACTAAGATGGACTATGTCTAAAATGATGATTTCATCCAGGGAGAGAAATTATGTAAATGCATCATGAGCTACTTGATTATTTTAGAAATCGTGGTTATATCTTCGTCACAAGTGAACATATGTTATCACATTTGTAAAGAGGTCTGCAGAAAGACCTAGTCTTAAATTCGGCATACATATTATGAACTTAAATTCAGTGCAATATGTCACGTTTCGGAGTTGTCACACCCGCCTTTTTTTTTTTAAATCAACCTCCCTCTTATAAAATAACTGAGTGGGCGGTGGAACGCAACACGAGACCCCTCATAAAGTTTACATTTTAACACATTTAGATAATAATTGATGCAATTCTGATGCTGCCGAATTGAAAAGAGTATCGCAACGATTGAGATCAATGGATGTATTCATATATTTTGGGTAAATATAACTTTAAGAAAGGGCGACAACTCTTTAAACTATAGTATTTCATACGGGATTTGGCGTTCGCTCGGTAATCGAGAAAAGCAAAGCTCGATGACAACAAACTGTCAGACAATAAGGAGCAGGGCTCGGTTAATACATGTAAGCTGTCATACAGTGTTATACTAATATCGCCTAAGTTCATACAAATTACAACATGACAGTATTTCTGGGTGTTTCCGGATCCACACAACAGATGCCTCCCAGGCTTCACCAGCCTCCACTCCCCGTCCCATCCCGGGCCTCACCTCCTCCTCCTCCTCGGGCTGGCCGTGGTGCTTGGACTTCTTCTCATGGCAGCGGTAGAGGCTCTTCGCCAAGCCGTTTCTCTCCGGCTTCAGTCCGTTCTTCACACGCTGACACACGTCCCCGTTCGCTGGCTTGGTGCTGGGGCTTTCGGTCATTGCTGGCCAACGATTGTGGAGCCGCTAAGGTAACTTGCATGTAGGAACACTGCGCCTGCCTGCGGTGCAAGGCGGTGACAGTATCCGAGCTGGGAACGTTTACAACCACACTACAAACTCTTTCACACACGCCCAACACACACATGCATCACACACACCGAACCCACACTATGGAACCTGAAAATACAGACACTAGATACCGGAAATCAACGCCCATTAGGGAGCATTGGAGGAGGGGCGGGGCCACGTGTTTCACATTTAGAGAAGGGCGGGGCTTGTCGACAATAAACTTGATTGACACTTGAATCGTTAAGTAAGGGGTTGTGACATTTTTTACAGTGGGGAAAAATAAACGGTAAAGTTACATCAGAGAATCTCTCTGATGTAACTTTACCGTTTATTCTATACATGTATTAACCGAGCCCTGCTCCTTATTATCTGACAGTTTGTTGTCATCGAGCTTTGCTTTTCTCGATTACCGAGCGAACGCTATAGTTTAAAGAGTTGTCGCCCTTTCTTAAAGTTATATTCATCCAAAATATATGAATAAATCCATTGATATGAATCGTTGCGATACTCTTTTCAATTCGGCAGCATCAGAATTGCATTGTAAAAATGTTCACAACCCCTGACTTAACGATTCAAGTGTCAATCAACATTTTTTAAAGTTTTTATTTTAAATTTTTATTTTTCCCAACTGTAAACAATTTCACAACCCCCTAATATAATATTCGGCATAGCCTACGGCTCGAATATTATATTGTTGTTCAAATACTTTTTGTTTTTACTCAAAAATAAAACTGAAATGTAATTATATTTTCACAACACATCATTAAATATGGCAATAAAAGCCACTTGTATCCAAATGACAACTTTTAGCTGGAACTATACCGGCTAGATTTTTTATTAATAACCAATTAAAAAATATGTATGGATGGAAACTTTTCACATTAGTGAAGCAGGAGGAATATAAAGTAAAATATAACCTAAAACTCTTACACTGGTTATAAACAAGAGGTCAAATAAGTGCCATGGTATATTAAATACAAATACTGATGTTATAGAGGTCCCGATTTGAGTTTCGTGTTAATGTATTCATCTGCAAAGATATAATGTAACCCACACCCTAACCCTAATGTAATAGTGGTTGATAAAAAGTAATTTAATATTAATATAATTCACACAGTATAAAATTATTGACATTTTATTAAAATGAGTGGAAAATGTAATTGAAACACGAGAAAGTATCTCGTGAGCATGAGAAAATAACCCGTTATCCTGACTTTTTTTTGTTTTTGTTGAGAAAGTTATCGGTGCACCAAGGAGGAAGTGGAGCACACAGGAGCAGGGCCGTCCCTGGCCAACTGGAGGCCCCACGCAAAGTTATATGATGAGGCCCTCTTTTTCGTGAGCATCGACGGGGGGGTTGCTAGTGGAGCCTCGCAGCAGCGATACCACACTAATTGCGCCGCATAAGCACATAGGTGCACCGCATTTGCGGCTCAGTTGAGGCTCCCCCCGCAAGGTGAGGCCCCCTCCGCAAGGTGAGGCCCCCTCCGCAAGGTGAGGCCCCCTCCGCAAGGTGAGGCCCCATGCAGTCTGCATGATCGGGAGACAGGAGACAACCATTTCATTGCAGACTGTTATGATTACGTGGGGAAATGACAGTGCATACATTATTTGAGATATATTTCGAACTCAGACTTAATTTTATGGACATTTCGGCCAGGGGTGTAGAGCTCATTTGTTTAAGCACCGGATTGGCAAAACAGGAGAGTCTGTAAACCAGTTTGCTTTGATCTATGAATTAATATCCATGACTCGCAGAGTACCAGCTGCCTGCAGCTGTTTTAAAGGGAAACAAACACTCAGAACACCTACACACAGAGCGGAGCTGAGCAGAGCACAAACAGACTCACATCATGCACCCTGGTGACCAGACCTCTCCTTCATTAAACTAACCAAAAGGGGACTAATCGGGCAGTTCGATGTGTGTAGAGGTGTGTGTGGAATCTGTAGAATCTGGAGAATCACAGAACGGCCAGTCGTCAAGGGCCTTGACGGCCGGCTCGGTTCGCTGACGGCCGGCACCGCCCTTACATGTTTATGTTTTTAAACGGCATCATTGAAGTTGCGCTGACAGGCGACAGAGGTCCACCGTTTCCACGCAGCGAGGCTCCCCCCAGGTTGACAGTTCACTAGCACCCCCCCTTGACAGTTTACTAGCACCCACCTCAAATAATGTATGCACTGTCATTTCCCCACGTAAACATAACAGTCTGCAATGAAATGGTTGTCTCCTGTGTGCTCCACTTCCTCCTTGGTGCACCGGTAACTTTCTCAACAAAAACAAAAAAAAGTCGGGATAACGGGTTAGTTTCTAGAGATACTTTCTCGTGCGCACAAGAAACTAACTTGTTATCCCGACTTTTTTTTTCTCTCTATCTCTCTCTTATTTTTACCATGTCCCTTTAGGGGCTCCGTAGTAAAGGAAGTACAAGTCTAAGGTTGCGTTCCAATAGTCCATTTAGCTTAGGAACCTTCCTAACCAAGTGAAATGACCCGGAAGTCCCTCAGTGGCAGCCATGATAAGTGCTGTTCCAATTCTCTAAATGAAAGGAAAGGAGGTTTCAAACTTCCTTTATAACCTCCTTTAGCTTAGGAACCACTGGACCTCCCTTACCGAAAGGAGAGGAGAAAATGCTGCCCCACAATGCATTGCAGCCGCAGCATTTGCCGTCACTCAACAGTCGGCCGTTCACGGAAACAACCGATTATGACCGAGAAATTATATCATGAAAGTTACGAGGCTTATTAAGCATTTTAAAACGTATGTGGTAAGTGCTTTGTTCTGAACGTTCATCAGTATTATAATCAAAAAGAGAAATATGAACATTAGTTTTTACTGAAATGGTCAAATAAAGTCAACATCTCACAGTCTTTACTGAGCTGTGTGGGGTTTGTTCAACTTTTAAAAGATGTTTGAATGGTGATATACACAGTGATAGATGTTAAGGACTAACGTTTATAATAAATACATTTGTATTGATTTTAAGATCTTTTCATACAATTATACGTATTGGGATCATTTAGGGAGAGGGTGATGAGCATAAGTTTCACTTTCCTTTTTTATTTCAATTCCAACTTTGGTCATGAAGAATATGTTTCTCTGTTGTCCACGTTCATAAAACAACAGCATCAGAGCACGGTACAGAGTCTCTAGATGAGTCCGTCGTTCTTATTAAACATCCATGTTGTAGTCCGCTGTATAGAAAACTGTGGTTTCCATAGTTTCCCCACAGCAGCAGACGCACATTCATGACGTCCGCTGGCGCATCATAAACACGTCGGATAGTGAAAGTTCATTCGGATTCTCTAAAGCATTTAGGAGCTGATTTTTGGATTATCGGAACGAAACCTAAGGTTGCGGTCGGATAATCCAAAAATCAGCTCCTAACGTCTAACCCTATCGTCTATCCCTTGACCTCTGAGTGAAACGTCACGGGGTTAAGTGATAGTAGATAGGAGAATTCAAAAGGATTTAGGAGAAGAGACTGCGGTACTTTAGAGAATCCGAATGCACTTTCACTATCCGACGTGTTTATGATGCGCCAGCGGACGTCATTTTGTGCGTCTGCTGCTGTGGGGGAAACTATGGAAACTACAGTTTTCTATACAGAGGACTACAACATGGATGTTTAATAAGAACGAGGGACTACTGTAAACTCATCTAGAGACTCTGCACCGTGCTCTGATGCTTTATGCTTTATGAACGTGGACAACAGAGAAACATATTCTTCATGACCAAAGTTGGAATTGAAATAAAAAAAGAAAGTGAAACTTATGCTCGTCACCCTCTCCCTCCGGTCTACATTAATACAAATGATCCCAATACGTATGATTGTATGAAAAGATCTTAAAATCAATACCAATGTATTTATTATAAACGTTAGTCCTTAACATCTATCACTGTGTATATCACCATTCAAACATCTTTTAAAAGTTGAACAAACTCCACACAGCTCAGTAAAGACTGTAAAATGTTGACTTTATTTGATCATTTCAGTAAAAACTAATGTTCATATTTCTCTTTTTGATTATAATACTGATGAACGTTCAAAACAAAGCACTTTGGCAACTTACCACATGCGTTTTAAAATGCTTAATAAGCACCGTAACTTTCATGATATAATTTCTCGGTCATAATCGGTTGTTTCCGTGAACGGCCGACTGTTGTGTGACGGCAAATGCTGCGGCTGCAAGGCATTGTGGGGCAGCATTTTCTCCTCTCCTTTCGGTTAGGGAGGTCCAGTGGTTCCTAAACTAAAGGAGGTTATAAAGGAAGTTTGAAACCTCCTTTCCTATCATCTAGAGCAGTGGTTCCCAACCTTTTTTCCCAAGAGCCCCCCCAAATGACTCCTGTTGGAGGTTGCGCCCCCCCCCCCCCTCACACACACAACAGCGGTAATTCAAGTTTTAAAAGTCTCAAATTGCTACAACTACTGTCACAAACTGGATGAATGTGGAGTATTTTGTTAAAGGAGGATTAAAGCGTAATTAAGGAGCACTGTTGGAGTGACTTTGATGGTTATTGGACTCAGGATTAATTCATTTGGATTCCCGCTGTATGAAGAAATTAAAGGACGGCGCAAGTGGAAACAATTCACAAGGGGATTAAACTGTTTAAAACACATGCTCAAAGTAAGCCGGATTTTGCCCATATGTGGATTCAAAAGTCGTAAATAATATACAAAATGGAGGAGACCGATCTGATCGGAGCAACTGTGACAAATAATCCAACTGAAACCGGCATGGACAATGATACGTTTTAAAAATGCGCTTATCCAGAAAAGCCTGGTTTGGACACTTTACGGGCAGAAGAAACATTTCTATTAAAAAAAGAATTACACATTTCCGTCTTGTTATGCCTATAATAGCTACTAACTTGAAGTAAAAAAAAAGAAAAAATGTAAAAAAAAGAAAAGTCTAAATATGATATTTGGCCTCAAATCATCTAAGGCCTGGCGCCCCCCCTGCAACCTTTGGGAACCACTGATCTAGAGAGAATTCGAACGAAACTTATCATGGCTGCCACTGAGGGACTTCCGGGTAATTTCACTCCGTTAGGAAGGTTCCTAAACTAAATGGATTTAAGCCTAAATATTTTGTGGAAATTAAAGTTAGGCTACTCCCTCTGGTGGTT